CATAAATAAATAAATAAATAAATAAATAAATAAATAAATAAATAAATAAAATCTTAAAAAAAAAAAGAAAAGCTCTAGGCAATTGTGAGACTTGACGAGAGGTGGCTCACACTGTAGGCCCTGGACCATTACTTCCCCACCCTCTCAACCCATGAGCTCCTGCTCTGGTCAAACACAGACCTCCTGATCCCTCCATTGCCAAACCCCTCAAGCATTGTCTACAAATTTAAGCTCCTCTCCCATCACTCACCTGACCTGCGACATGATTGCGGTACACCTAGATGAATAGAATCAAACAGTGTATAGCATGTAGGATCCTTGGGGAACCAAGGCTGAAGCTGTGGGAGAACTTAAGATGGCTCTAGACAGAATGCAGGTCAAGACCAAAAATTAAATTGCAGCAGCAGAGCACGCATTTACTGAACACTAAGTGTCGGGCACTTGGCCAACCATTTACACAGCATCTCATTTGCTCCTGGCAACAATTCTATGAAGCAGGTTCAATTGTCTTAATTTTGTGGAGGAGGCAGCAGGTTGGTAAAGATTTAACCCAGCTATACCTGCCTCAGAAACTTTTGCTCTCAGCCGTTGGACTGAGAGAATAAAATGGGGGGGGCAGCGATGCACTGTAGCCTAAACTACCCTCCCCCCCCAACACCCTGCACCAACACACATACACACACACACTGCAGCTGTGTGAGGGCTGAACGGTGTGTATCCTTATGGGTCTATCAGCTCTGGGTAGGCACTTAATGTGTATCCACAAAGTGGATAGCAATCGCGCGGGGACTCAAGCTGACACCCTCTTCCCCTTACCTCCCACAGATCCACAAGGCTTCACGGGCTCCAGGACCAGATCTCTGCAGCCCAGGCCTAACTGGGTGGCTTCAGGTCAAGCCAGGCGATGAGGTGGGGTTGGTTGGGGAGCGGGGGCTACCTCGGCCGGGAAGCCCACTGCAGCCGAGTATCTTGTCCGGGAGGCACGGGGAACGATGTCAGCACGCATAATGAAGCAGCCCGCGGCCCTGCTCCACAGAGAACTAGACAGAGGGTTCGGGCATTTTCCCAGGATCGCTTCCCAGTGGGCTCAGCTGCGCGGACGGCGCCCCCCTCCGGGCTTCCAAGCGCTCTTGCCCGCGCCGCTATTAAACTCGCGGAGACTGGAGCTGAGAAAAGGCGGGCAAAATTCCTTTTGATAAGTTATGAATGGTGAGAAAGTGTTTGTAGTACTCATTGTTAAAACCACGGAGCCGGGGACTTGGCCCGCTCCCGGCCAATCCGAGCCCGGAGGCTATTTTGAAATCGCTCCTGTTTCAGCCAATAGGAGTGCAGGAGGCGAAGCCCCCGCGCCGGCTCCGGCCAATGAGCGCGGCGTTATGCTAAGAAGCCGGGGGCTGGGCCGCGCCGACTGTCAGCGGGTTAAAGATGGAGCCGGCGAGCGAGAGGGCGCCACGAGGTGCGGGGTCGTCCTGTTGGGGATGACGGGGGCAACCAACCGCCAGGACCTTTCTCTCGCTAACCTTCCGCGTCCTGCCCCGTCCTGGTTTGGAAGGGGCGTCCCGCCGCGTGAGTAGCAGGGTCCGAGGTGGAGGGCACAGGCAGGGCGGCCCAACCCGGCGGGACTGTGCGGAGGGGCGCAGCCCGGACCCCGGGCGCCCTCTCCGGGCAGGGGACTCCAGAAGGGCGGGAAGCCTCCCTTGTTCTTTTGCTTCGCTCTGGGCCGCCAGGAAGAGAATCTTTAGGACTGGAGCCCAAGTTGGGGGCTAGGGGCCAGGGTTGGGGGCCTGAGCCGGCAGGGGCGCCTCGTTCGGAACCGGGCCACCCTCCTTCTCTCGGAGCCGCAGACCGAGTGAGGGCGTAGGGTCGTCGGTCTGTACCCACCCTCGCTCCGTGCGCGAGTGGGCTTCGGACTGCGGTGGAGCGCGGGTCCCTCTCCTTTGTGTGTTTGCCCCCTCCCCCGTCCGCTCCCGCTCCTGGGTTGGAGCTACCCCTCAGACTGGGGTCTCTCCCGCACCGCAATGTGGAGCGTGCTGGGGAAGGGCCGGGACATTCTGACGACCTCCAGGACCATAGCCCTGCCGAAATCCTTCCCGCCTTGAGGTCCAGGACAGGGCCCCTAGCCCCACCCCACCCACCCACGGTTGAGCTTCCCGCCCTGAGCTTACTGGGGGCCGTGGGGGTACCCCCAGCTGGCCCCAGGTGCTCTGACGAGGTTGCACTACTGTGCTCTGAGAAGCAGTGCAATGATATTGTCAAAGCATCTGGGACCAGCCTTGGGAACCCCTCCTTCCCCACACTACCAACCCCCTCCCCAGGCAGGGCCCCTTGGGCCTGCAGGCCCTCCCCTCCCCCCGTCCCTGGCCTCACTCCCTTCTCCATGGAAACTTGAGATCTTGGCTAGGCCTGGGCCTCTAGGGTCAGAGGGCACCCTTCCCCCCAGGCAGAAGCCCCACCCCAGTGAGCCTGCATTCCAGGTCTCAGATCCTCAAGGACCACCACCAGGAGAGGCGCTGGCAGGCCTGCCTGACACTCTTTCCCTGTTGCACTACTGTGGGCCGCTGGGAAGCAGTGCAATGATGAAAGGGCATCGGTCAGGCCCAGCCCACCACCCATAGCGCCTGAAGGGAGGGAGTTTTGGGGCCTCACTCCACTTCCTAGCAGCTAGGAGCAGGTGTGGAACTAGGCTGGACCCTCCATCAGAGGATTAGGTGAGTGCAGAGCTGGGGGAATCCTCCCATAAATTCTCCTCTGGGTTATGGCTGGACAGGAGCAAGGGGCAGAGGCCCTGGATTCAGAAAAGCTCTGGTTTGAAGATCTTTCCACACCAACTCCCTGGGTAAGACTGGGGACTCCAGGTTCCGTCAGGGCCTTGTGGAGAAATGGAGACCCACTGTGTTGCCTGGCTCAGACCCAGCTCAACTTTGTGTGCAGGTGAACTACACCCAGCCCTCCTTGAGGGCTTGGGGAGGGTCAGACTCTGGAGAGAACATTCTCCTGGGTTCTTAGGAGCACCACTATCTGGGGTGGGTGGGTGGACTTGGGCTATGAAGCCCACAGGTGATACCCATCAACCATGCCAGTTTGTTCTCTTACAGGGAGGTATGCTGCCCTGAGACTGCAGGAGGGACCAAGAGGTGCCTGGCATGCCCATCCTAACAGCTACAATTAGGGGGATTGCCAAGGAGCCAGGCTCCAGGCATGCCTGCAAGGCCACGTCCTCCGTCAGGACATGCCACAATGCAAAAGGCTTGTGTGCCCAGTGAGTCATTCAAGCCTGTCTCCTTTGAGAGGAGGCCTAGGTTTCCAGATGGGCATTTGGGAGTACCCCTCACCCCTGGCTGAGCACATCAAGATGTCAGCTTCACCCCCACCCTGGGGGGTAGAAGACTGGGCATCCATGGCTGGAGGTGGCCATCCTTATTTCTGGGTAGATTCTGTGCCCACTGGCTGGAGACCCTCATACAGCTGTCTCTGGCCCTTGCTGGGGGATGCTTGTGAACTCAGGGTTTTGCTCAAATGTTCCCTCCTAGGGAAATCCTTTCCTGGGCTCCACAGCATCCAATATCCCTCCAGCAGAGCCTGTTAGATTGAAATTTCTCATTGTGGCTGAAGTCCTCATTACACTGGGAGCCCTGAGGGCAGGGACAATGTCCCTTTTTATATCTCTCTTGGCAGTGCCTGGCACAGAGGAGGGGCCAATACAACTTTAAAAAATACAAATAAGTACACAAAGTGTGAAGTATTATTAGCATAACATGGTGGGGGGGGATTAATTAGGGGTCTGTTTGACCCCTCAGAGGACTTGTGCTGTATATAAAAAGGCAAATACTATATATTGCAAAGTAAAGTTTTTTTTTTTCTTTAAGATTTTTATTTATTTGACAGAGACCCAGCTAGAGAGGGAACACAAGCAGGGGGAGTGGGAGAGGGAGAAGCACACAGCATCAGGAAGTAGAATGCAGATTTGAACCCATGTGTATCATATCTGTTTGCACCCCTAGGCTAAAATTTTTTTTCCTCCTTGATTGTTTCCATCTTGCTCTCTGACCTCAAAGCAGGAGGAAGTGAGGGCCTATGTTGGGGAGAGCAGAACCTTAGAGGGTTGGTGGTTTGGCAGTGGCAGGTGAAAACTCTTCTTTTGACTTCTCAGATGCACTCCATGGATCTCAGGTTGATTGGGGTGAAGGGGTGTGGAGGGCGACAGAGAGGAAGCAATCCAGGGTGGGCCCCCTTATCAATGTGGCTGCGGTGGTTGGTAGTGACATCGCTGACCAAGTAGGAGAGGGAGAAGAGAAGCAGGTTTGGGGTTGGGAGGGAAGAAGCTGTATGCCAAACTGGGTATGTTCAGCATGAGACGCCAAAGAAACGACCCCAGCCGAAACTTGGATGTGGTTCTGGAATTCAAGGGAGGGCTCAGCCTGAGACGCAGGTTAGAGTTAGTTAAGTCAGCTCTGAGTTGGGATCAAGAAGTGGGGTAAGATCATCCCAGATGGTACCGTGAAGATGGGGCCTTCTGAAATGCATGAGCAGCTGGAGATGCTCGTGAAGAGGCAACGTGAGTACAGAGCAAAGGAGTGGTTATACAGGGGAAGAGAGAAGACAAGCTGAGGAGGGTTGGGTTTGATGCTGGAGAGTAAATCAGGAGAGGAAGAGTGAAGTCTGGGACTAGAGGAGTTAAAGAGACTTGAGTGAAGCCCTTGGCGTGTGGTCGACAGACCCCGAGGAGGGAGGGTGAGCACACGGAATGGGGATGGGAGAAAGCCTTAAAGACTTTCGAAGTGTACGGCTGCTGACCATGTTCTCTGCGTGGCCATGGCCGGCTCCCCCAATCAAGGACTGCAACACGCCAGCGGGACTGGGCCTCCGCGGTGCGCTGCAGCGTTTGCCCCGTCGAACGCTCCAGAGCGCATGCCCAGAGCGGTGGGCATTGTCACGTGCGGCCGCCTCGCGCGGATTGGCCCCCCGCCCGCGAGCTCCGGGGGGATTGGCTAGAGCGGTCGGGGCGGTGGCGGCGGCACGCGGAGGGAGGCTGCGTCGGTGCGGCGGCTGTGGGGCAGAGAGCAGGTGCGTCCCCGCGGTCCCCGCCCCGCCGCCCACGGCGATCCGATCCCTGGCCCTCGGGACCTGCCCCTGTCCCCCGGCCCGAGGCGGGTGGGGGTCGGCACGCCTGGAGCCTCGGTGGCCCCGCCCCGACGGCCGCTCCGCCCCCAGGCCGCCCAGGCCCGCCCGCAGCTCCTCGGGGATGGAGGTCCTGGACGAGTTCGACAGCGAGTTGCCCCAGAGTGTGACCTTCTGCCAGCTCATCTCCGAGGAGGACTTCGAGAGGCAGGCGGCCACCTACACGGAACGCGCGCTGCGCCGCCTCTTCCGCAGCATCGACCGCAACCCGGCGCTGGCCGAGAGGGTGGTGCGCAAGGGCAAGCTGGCCGAGTACGAGGGGCGCGGGCTCCTCTCCTTCCTCTGGGTGCGAGCGGGCCGGCGGGGCTGCAAGGGGGGAGGCGGGGCGGGGGCCACGGGGGCGGGTGCTCACACGGCTCCCGCTCGCTGTCTTCTGGGGCGGAGCTCTGAGGATAGGAGATTGGGGGCGGGGCGGGGCGGGGCGGGGCGAGGGTTGGGTGGGGAGGGAGCCTTCGGGCCTAGCTGGAGCTGCAGAGTAGGGCTCTTCCAGAAGCCCCAGGCGACCCAGCTTGAAGAGTGCAGCCGGCAGGCGTCTCACCTGTCTGGCTTCCTCCTGCCCTGCCTGTCCCCTTGTCGTAGGCAAAGTTCTTCTGTGCAGTTCAGGGGGAGCTGAATTGTTGCAACAGCATGGGTGCCCTGGAGATGCACCAGCGCCTGGAGCAGCTGAAGAGGAGCATTCACCGCGTGCACCTCTACTCTCAGGGTGAGGCTCAGCCTCTGCCAGGCTCCAGTAACCCAGCAAACCTGACTCAGGTTCCCTTATCCCTGGTTCTGTGCTTAGCACTTTTTTTTTTTAATTTGGTCTTTATTTTTAAAGTATTATGAAAACGAACATAATACAAAACTGGAGACTGCAGTGAACACTCGGGTACCGGTTACCCTTCAGTTTCAGCAACTATCCCCATCTTGCCATGCTTGCTTCACTCTCTATTCCCTCGTTTCCTTTTTCTGGAGCATTTTGGGGGGAAATCTCAGACATCATTTTATTCTTGGATTCTTTAGAATGCTTTTTTATATATTAAAAAAAGACATTTTGTAATCACAATGTTACCTAGATATTATTGACAACAATTTTAAGATTTATTTATTTATTTGACACAGAGAGTGTGCTCACAGAAGCACAGGGAGGGGCAGAGGGAGAGAGAGAGAAACAGGCTCCCCACAGATCAGGGAGCCTGATGTGGGACTCAATCCCAGGACCCTGAGACCACCACTCGAGCCGAAGGCAGAGGCTTAACCGACTGAGTCACCCAGGTGCCGGACAACAATTTCTTAATATTAGCTGATACTTGGTTTGGATGTTAGGTCCTTTGACGTTCCTTTTCACTAGGATGGCCATATACTTCGAGTCCACATTGGCACACTTGGGAGAGTGAAATGGAAGGGGGCCACACTAGTGACCACGTAGGGATGGCAAGTGAGGGATGGCCACGTCTGTTGAAGTCCCTTTGAGGTGGGATGCCCTCACCTTACTCCCCCATGCCATCACCATTCAAGAACTGTGATGTCCTTTGGGGCGTTGCACTCAATGGGTTTATATCTGTTGTTAGGGCCCCCTGGTGCCGTTTGTCTTGTCCCCCTCTCCCTGTATTTCTTGGACAGTTGCTCTAAAGCCTTGATTAGATGCGGATTCAGTTCTTTTGGTGCATTTGTCTTCAGTGATACCCTAGCTAGTGGTGGAGCAGCTTTCTTCATTGTATCAGGAGGCCTGGCTCACCTGGGGGTCCCACTTTCCATGATGCAGAGTGTGCGTGTTCCACATCACCATTTCATCTGATGGACCCCCCCCCCAGCATGTGTAGCTCTTACACAGCCTCCCAAGGTAGTGTCCATGCTATTAAACTCATTTTACAGAAGAGGACATAGAGGCCCAGGGAGGGTAGCCAACGTTGTAACAACAGTGTCACGTAGTAAGTAGTAGAGTCTAGACTTCAACTCAGGTGTGGGTTGCTCTAGGGCTCGGGCTCTTAGCCTCCAGGTCAGTGCTCCCTGGTGGTAGCACTGGTAGCACATAATGGGCTGTATGAGGCACTTGTTCATATCCACTTTGCTGGTGTCCAGTAGAAATAGCCAGACTCATCAAATAGAGGAAGAAAACCTAATGTGGAAAGAGGAGAGGGGGTAGGCCCCAGAGTCCTGCTACTCAAAGATTCTCTCCCTGAGCCCACTTCTGTACGATCTCCTACAGAAGAGTTTCCTTATGGAGGAAAGGGCCTTTGCATACCCCCAGGATGGCCCTGGGGCTGGGTGTAGTTGGTGAACTCACCGTCCAGAGCCTGGATACCCCATGAAGGTGCTGGCTGACTTAGGAGCTTTCCACAGTGCTTGCGGTAGGTGGCAGATTGACCTGTCTGGGACAAGCCCAGCCCTCCTTGGTGGTGATACTCATGTTACTTCCCCTAAAATTCGGGCCTTGAAGTCTGGGGTATGGGTCCTGCCTGGGCCTTGTACACTTGGAACTTCCCTTTCTCCTTGTAAGAGAGAGACAAAAATAGCCTTTCCTCGTGGGGGTAGTTGTGGGGTCGGTGAGCTGGTACATGTTGGTGCCTGTCAGCCGTGGCTCCCCACGGTCCATTTCGTGAAAGGACCCTAACCCTAACCCCACTCTTATGTGGTGCCCTTTGGGGGAGGAATCTTGTGAAGAACCTGCACCATTGTTTGGCCTCGACGCTACCCTGTTCTGGCCATGGGGTAGGCACTCATTGGTCCCTTTTGTCACAGATGCCAAGAAGAAGAGAAGAAAGCCAAAGCCGAAGAAACCAGAACCCATCCTCTTGCGAGACCGCTCAACCTCCCCATGCCTGCCACCAGCCCTGCTGCCGCCTCCACCGCTGCTGTCACCTGCCACCACCATGGCCGCCGTGGTGGCCTCATCACCCCCTGTCTGCACTATGCCTCGGGTCTTTGGCCCCTTCCCTCCACTGCCCAGCAAGTCGGTCAGTGAGCTCATCCCCCGGTCTGCATGGTCCCAGGAGCGGCAGCCCCTACCCCTCTGCTCAGAACCACCCCAGCGGCTCCCCCAGGCCCATGGCAGTGACTGTCAGAACTTTGTTTTTAAGCGGCAGAATGCTCTCTGGAGGCAAAGTCTTGGGTAGAATGTTGATGGATAAAGCAGATAAAAGGGGGTCTGCTCTGGTTGAAGGGTTGGAGGCACAGAGTTTCACCTGCTTGGCCTCAGCTGAGCAAGGCAGCTGCCAAAACATGGGGCAGAATCCTGGGGTGCCCAAAGGACAGGTGGAGAAGCATGGCCTGCCCCCCAATATCTCTAGCCCCACGCCTGCCCCACTTCATGGCTGGTGGTCTCCTTGCCTCTGCAGTGCCTTCCTAACCGCGTGCCTCTCCTGTTCCCTCCTCCTGCAGTCTCATGCCAGGCAGCCCCCAGTCCTCTCTCAGCTCCCAGCCCCCATCCCGTCCCCGTCCCCCTAACACCAAGCTTGAGGTGGGCGCTAAGGATGACCCTATGTATTGGCTGAATGAGTGATAGTCACATAGTTTCCCTAGTTCTGGTATAAGGTGTTTTTCTTCCCAGTGGGGCCCCCAGACTTGTCCTAAGATTTCCTTTGTTTCCTACAGATGGAGAAGTTGGAGGTTGCAAGGTCAGAAGTGAAATTGAACTGGCCTGGCCTGTCATCGAACCCAAAGAGGTGGAAGGAAATGATTCTAGGCTCCGGGCAAATGAAAAGAGAGCATTTTAGGGAGCACATTGTGTCTCACGCTTGGTTCCCATTTTTTCCCCACCTTGTCAGTCCTCACCACAGTGTTGAGGGGTGGTTATTCCCATTGTACAGGGACGGAGTCAAGGCTCAGGTCTGATCCGTGCCCGGGAGTCCCTGTGGGAGGGCCTGCCAGGGAGGAGCCCAGAACTGATGTTTCCCTCTCTGCCCTGTCTTGCAGGCACATGGTTGATCTGACCCCCTTGGTCCTCAACCCCGGAGGCTTCCATTTCTCGTACCTGGCTGGAAACAGTGCACACAAGCTCCGTTGCCCTGGCTTCCCCTGGTAAGCACGCCTCTGGGCCTCTCTGGGGCGGGACATCGTCCTGGCTTGCCTGGCTTGATGGCATCATGGCAGTGTGCACGAGGGCCAGAAGAATGTTCTGTATGATGGTCCTTTGCATTTCATGAAAGGACCCTAATGTAATCGGGTGCTGGAAAAGTTGCTCCCCCTTCCTAGTGTTTGTAAATGCTGAGAGTTGGAAACAAGCAGCTCAGAGATCCATTAGAAAGGGAACAATTCCGTCAACTGTGCGTAGCCCTAAGGTGTATACACATGTGTTTTGCAAAGCAGGGATTTACTGAATAGGTGGTTTGTTTGCTTGTTTGTTTAATCACCTGTTTTTGCCATTTATGGTAGTGTTATTTCCCATGTCATTCCATGGAGTGTTATTTCAAAGTATGTATTTAGACTGGCTACTTCATTGTATCAGATAATTTTTTTTTTAAATAGCTATTTTTTAAAAAATATTTATTTATTTATTTATTTGACAGAGAGAGACACAGCGAGAGAGGGAACACAAGCAGGGAGAGTGGGAGAGGGAGAAGCAGGCTTCCCGCCGAGCAGGGAGCCCGATGTGGGGCTCGATCCTAGCACCCTGGGATCATGACCCGAGCCGAAGGCGGATGCTTAATGACTGAGCCACCCAGGCGCCCCTAAATAGCTATTTTTTAGAGGAGTTTTAGATCCACAGCAAACTGAGAAAGTGCTGAGAGTTCCCATGTCCCCCTCCCCCCTACACAGGCACAGACTCCCCCACTATCAACATACCCCACCTTACAGTTGGTGAACCTACATTGACACATCATTATCACCCAGAGTCCATATGTTTGGGCTTGCTCTTGGCATTGTACATTCTATGGGTTTGGACAAATTTATAATGACAGGTATCCACTATTGTAGTGTCCTATAGAACAGCTTCATTGCCTTCAAAATCCCCTATGCTCCAGCTGTTCATCCATCCCTCTCCCCTAATGCCCAACTACCACTGATCTTTTTAGTGTGTCCATAATTTTACCCTTTCCAGGATGTTATATGCTTGGAATCCTACAGTATATAGCCATTGCAGATTGGCTTCTTTCACTTACGGTTCCTCCATGTCTTTTCATGGCTGGCTAGTTCTTTTTTAGCACTGAGTAACTGGGTATACTGTAGTTTATTTATCCATCCACCTACTGAAGGACATCTTGGTTGCTTCCAAGTTTTGGTAATTATGAATAAAGCTACTATATAAACATCTACATGCAGGTTTTGTGTGGACATAAGTTTTCAACTCTCTTACTAAGAAGCATGATTGCTGGATCATATGGTAATAATATGTTTAGTTTTTTTTTTTTTTAATATGTTTAGTTTTAAAGAGACTACCAAAGTGGTTGTACCATTATGTATTCCCACTACCAATGAGTGAGAATGCAAATGACTTCTTATGTGTAAGTAACCTACACAGTTCTGTAAAGATGATTCTAAATTTAGTTGATGGAAAGTTTATTCACGAAGACACCCAAAGTGTGAGCGAACCTTTAAAAATGTTTTTGGCTTCCTTAGTAGTGAAAATAACGTTAAGGTTACTGAGATATATGCTCTATACCTGTCAAAAAGCCCCAAGTAAAGAGAATCCTGTGCTATCAAGGCTTTAGGAGGAGACTCATTTTAGCTGTGAAAATACTATAAATTGGCTTTGTCCTTTTAAAAATTCTCTTATTAAAAAAAATAAAAATTCTCTTATTGAGATAATTTGCATAGCATCATATGAATTCACCCATTTAAAGTGTTCACTTTAGTAGCCTTTTATATATTCACATTTGTGCAACCATCACCACAGTCCAATTTTAGAACGTTTCCATCATGTCAAAAAGAAGAGAGTGAAAAGACAACCCATAGACAACCCACAAAAAATCCCATTCCAAAAAATGGGCACAGGACTTGAATAGACATTTCTTTAAAGAAGGCATACAAATGGCCAATAAACACAGGTAAACATGCTCCCCGCCATTAGGCATCAGGGAAATGCAAATGAACACCACAGTGAAATATCACATCACACCCACCAGGATGGCTCTCATCGTAGAGACAGATGATGACAAGTGTTGATGAGCATGTGGAGAAATTGGAACTCTAGTGTGTGGCCGGTGGGAATGTAAAATGGTGCAGCCACCGTGGCAAAAAGGTGTGATGGCTCCCCAAAATGTTAAACATAGGATTACCGTATGACCCGGTAATTCCCCTCCCAGGTATATGGCTGGAAGAACTGAAGTAGAGACTCAGACAGATGCTTGCACATGAATGTTCATAGCACCAGTTTCACAGTGACCAAAAGGAGAAGACCACCCAAGTGTATCCGAGATGAACAAAATGTGACCTAGCCACGTAATAGAATGTTGGAACAAGTGAAAGAAGCCAGCACGAAGGGACAAATTATTGTATGGTTCCTGTTACGTGGAATATCTAGAATAGGCAGAGTCCTAAAGACAAAGTAGATGAGAGGTTGCCAGGAACTGGGAGAAGGGAGTGAGTTGCTTAATTGGTACAGTTTCTGTTTGGGGTGATGAAAAAGTTCTGGAAATAGATAGCGGTGATGGTCACAGGACATGGTGAATGTATCTAATGCCACTGAATTGTACACATAGAAATGGTTAAAATCGTAAATGTAACGTATATTTTACTACAATAAAAAGAAAGAAAGAAAGAAACCCTAGCACCACTTAGCTGTCACCCACAGGTCCTCCACCACCAGCCCTAGGCAGCGATTAACCTACTTTCTCTGTGGATTTGCCTGTTCTGGACATTCCATATAAATGAAACCATACAATAACATGGTCTTTCGTGACTGGCTTCTTTCATTTAGCATAACGTTTGCAAGGTTCATCCATGTCATAGCATGTGTTACTGCTGAATTTCCTGGCAGAATACTTTTATTTATTTATTTATTTTTAAAGATTTTATTTATTTATTTTGGGGTGAGAGCGAGTGCACTCGTGAGTGGTGGTGAGTGGGGAGAGGGAGAAGGAGAGAGAACCTCAAGCAGACTCTGTGTCTAGCCCAGAGCCCGACGCAGGGCTCGATCTCACAATGCTGAGATCACGACCTGAGCTGAAACCAAGAGTCAGCTACTTAACTGACTGACCCACCCGGGCACCTCCAGAATGACTTATTTTTTATTTTTAAAATTTTTTATTTAAATTTGAGTTAGTTAACATATGAATTTCCTGTTTTTTAAATTTCTTCTTTTTAAGATTTGATTTATTTGACAGAGAGAGACACAGCGAGAAAGGGAACACAAGCAGGGGGAATGGGAGAGGGAGAAGCAGGCTTTCCGCTGAGCAGGGAGCCCTCTGCAGGGTCGATCCCAGGACCCTGAGATCATGACCTGAGCTGAAGGCAGACGCTTAATTGACTGAGCCACCCAGGCGCCCCTTAAATTTCTTTTTTAAGACTTAAAATTTTTTAGAGCAGTTTTAGGTTCACAGCAAAAGTGATAGGAAAGTACAGAGAGTTCCCATACGCCCCCTATCCCCACACGTGCACAACCTCCCTCATTATCAACATCCCCTCCAGAGTGATGCGTGTGTTAACAACTGATGAGCCTGCACTGATACATCATAGTCACCCAAAAGTCCATCGTTTACATCAGGGTTCCCTTTTGGTGCTGTACATTCTATGGGTTGACTTTCTTTTTATGGTTGAATGGTATTCCATTGTATGGATATACTGCATTTTCTCTATCTATTCATGAGTCGACGGACATTTGGGCTGTTTCCATTTTTTTGGCTCTTATGAATAATACTGTTAGGAACATTTGTGGCCAGGTATCTGTGAGGACATAGTTCTCAGTTTTCTTGGGTATACCCTTAAGAGTGGAATTGCTGGGTCATATGGTAAGTCTGTATCTTGAGGAACTGCCGAAGACACAAGTCCCTTATCAGACATAGGATCTGCAAACATTTCCTCCCGCTGTGTGGGTGGTTTTCTCACTTTTCCAGCAGTGTCTTTTGAAGCACAAAAGTATAAGGTTAGTCCTTTTGAAAGGCAGTTTATAAGAACATCAGGAGCCATAGATGTTTTCAAATTCTTTGCTCTGCTATTTTTTTTTTTTTAAGATTTTATTTATTTACTTGAGAGAGAGAGAGCACAAGCAGGGGGAGCAGCAGAGGGAGAGGGAGAAGCAGGCTTCCCGCCTAGCAGAGAGCCCGATGCGGGACTCGATCCCAGGACCCTGGGATCATGACTTGAACTGAAGGCAGACGCTTAACGACTGAGCCACCCAGGCGCCCCTGGGCATAGTTTTATAAGGGTGTGATTTAATTAGACAATGTCATTTCTTTTATCTTGCCTTTGTCACTTACCATGAAGGCCATGGGGACTGGTCCACTTCTTGATGGTCTTTTGAAGCTGAGCTTCATTGGCTGCATAATAAATATCCTGTGCATGTAGTGCTATCACTTAACTCCACAGGCTTCCATGAACACATGAGGTGCTTCCAGTTGTCTTCTCTACGAGTATAGTTAGTGCTGGGATTAAAGTCTTTATGTGCGAAGCTGTTCCTGAACTTCAGATGAATTTCCTGAAGCAGAATTATAAGGGAAATGGTCTGAACAGTTTTCAAAACGACTTTTTTTTTTCAGATTCTAAAACAATATGTATTTACTGTAGATAATTTGAAAACCGCACACAAAGGAGAGGAAAAGCCATACCAAATCACTCTTAACGCCCACTGCCAGAAATAACTAGCACCAGCATATATTTGTCTTTTCCCTGTGGAAACATGAGTCTATACACATATGGTAGTCTGTTACCTAACTGGGAGTGTTCTGTTAGGCAACTTTGTAGCCAGCTCTTTAAAGAAATATACTTAAGTTCACCAATAACAATAGATGCAAAATGCTCCATTGTATGGATGGAATATTTCCTCAGCCATTCTTGCTCGTTGAAACATTGCACTGATGGGGACAATTTTAGGCTCTTGTTATGTATTGCTTTCTGAGTGAGCTGTGTTCTCATGATATCATCAAAAGTGGGTTATTTGTTATTGGCTTTAAAAAGTTTACAAAAGCAGGACATGTTCTGTGGGAAAAAGTTCACAATAGAGCAATGAATACGTAAAATATAAGAGGCCCCTGCCCCTAGGAGTCCCACTGCTGAGAGTTTCATGTGTACCCTTCTAACACACACACACACACACACACACACACACACACACACACACACACACGAATACGCTGGTTAATTCTGTAACCAAAGCAGGATTATATATTGTATGTATTTCCCAGCAGCTTGCTTTTTTCCACTACTGTGCCATTGGGGCATCTTTATTTGCTGGGATATGTAGACTGACCTCAGTCCTTCAACACCTGCAGAACAGTCGGCCACATGGCGCCTGTGGTTCCTTTAGCCTTTCCCTGAGGAACAAGGTGGTTTCCAGGTTTTCACAATCACAGACATTGCTGCGGTGAACAGCCTGGAACAGCCATTCATGGGAGAGAGTTCTGAAAGTAGAAATGTATTGCGAGCCATCCCACAGCCTGATGTCTTGTCATGTGTACTTCTGGTGGCTCTTTGTGCCAGTATCCCACCTCATGGACGTGTCTTGGCTGTCTCCTGCACAGGACCTCGGCTTGTAGTGGTCCCCCCAGTACTGAGGAGACACCACTCCCTCCTGTGAAGGCCTCCATCTTCACCCCGCCTGTCTTGCTCAAGTTCCAGCCTGTGCCAAGACCCAAAGATGACTCTGAGAACGACCCTAGCAGCACAGAGTCTGGGACCCCCAAGAGGGGCCCATAACCTCTTCCCTATAGACCATGGCTAAAGGAATGAATAAAGTTCTCGCGGAGGTGCCTTACTTGTGCTGGGCTCCCTAGAGGCTGTACAATCCCATGGACTTCCTCCAGTCGAAAGAGGTGTTCAGGGTAGTGCAAGCCTGAGGCCCCCCTCAGCCTGAGCCTGCATACAGTAATTGGTCAGGTCAGTGCTACTGTGAAGTCCCCTTGCTTGCACTCTAACATGAGAATTCAGCCATGGTACTTTTTTTTAAAGATTTTATTTATTTGAGAGAGAGACAGCAAGAGAGAGCATGAGTGGGGAGGAGAGGGAGAAGCAGGCTCCCCGCTGAGCAGGGCTTGATCCTGGCTTGATCCCAGGACCCTGGGATTATGACCTGAGCCGAAGGCAGCCTCTTAACTACCGAGCCAGCCAGGTGCCCCAGCCACGGCGGTGTGAAAGAGAAATGAGTGATGAGACAGTGCTGCCCTTCCCTACAGTGTCTCTCTGGCCCCTTTGGGCCTCACTTGACCCCACTGATTTACAAGTCTACCATTTTTTCCTGAACTTGGCCCCTAAACTCAAGCCTTATCCTGGTGTGGGTTTAGAAACAGTGATCTCTTCCCACCCTGGGGGAAAATAAGCTGGTGATGAGTTTCCGACTTGGCACCTCCCTAAGGAGTCTCAGAGACAGTGACTCCTCTCACACACCAACCTGAGAATCAAACCTGCATGTGAGATGTGAGTCCTCACAAAATGCTTGGGGACTGCTGGACATTAGCAGATATTCACTAAACCCTTGTGTATGCCTCACACCTTGCTTGGGACTGGAGATAATAAACCAAGTGGGTCCCTGCTCTTAAGGAGGAGCTCATATCCTATCCTCGTGTGTGTGTGTGTAACCAGTGCATAGATCTAATTAACAGAGTTATAAAGTTGTAAGTCCTATGGGAGCTGAGTTGGGCATGTATGTGGTGGGCTGTCAGGGAAGACGTCTCTGAGGAGATGACCTTTATATTGAAGCCTAGAAAATTAGAAGGGGGCAGCCATGAAATGAGAAAGGGCAAGGACGACTGGCTTTGGGTGACTGTCTAGTGGTACAATTGATGAGTAGGGGATTGGAGAATTCTGTTTTGACCAGACATTTTTTTTTTTTAAGATTTTATTTATCCATTCATGAGACAGAGAGATGCAGAGGCAGAGGGAGAAGCAGGCTCCCCGTGGAGCAGGGAGCCAGATGTGGGACTCGATCCCAGGACCCTGGGATCATGACCTGAGCCGAAGGCAGACGCTTAACCCACTGAGCCACGCGGGCGTCCCTGGCCAGACATGTTAAATTTGAGATCACTGGTACCCAAGTAGAGGTCAGGAATCCGGAGTGTTGGCCGTTTAACGATGAGAATCAAGGGATACAAGTGGCATTTAAAGCCACGAGCCTGGGCAAGACCACCCAGTGCTTGGTTGTAGACGGAGGTCCAGGGCTTAGGCTGGGGCACACGAACATAGTGATCTGGTCCAGGGAAGCGTCCTTAAGAAGGGAACAGATGAGTGAGGGCTTTGGACTTTCGGGCTTAATGGCCACTTGCCCCTAATTCGCCCAGGAGAGGGGCCTGGAGGCGGCGGGGACTGAATGCGAGGAGAACGGGCATACAGCGAACGTGGACGTGGCTTTGGAGGCGTCTGCCGCGGAAGGAAACAGAGACGAGCCCGAGGGTGGTGGCACTTGTGCGGTGCCCCGCGGACTTTTTTTAAAGACCCAGGTGAAACCAGGGCGGGCTTGAGCAGGGACGGCACGTAGCCAGGGCTGGATGGGTATGCGAAAGGTCCAGAGAGCATCCCCCACCCGCCCGGGAAAGTGGGGCTTCGAGGCAGAGGCCTCTCGTCCCACCAGCACCCTTATAAGCCCTACCGCGAACTCCGCCCAGGCACCCCAAGACCAAGCTCTACCTGCGGGGCATGCGCACTTGGCACGAGGCGCCACCGTTCCCTCACGGCCTTCGCCCACTTCCGGGGCGGGTCAGCGGGACCCGGAAGTAATTACGGAGCTGGGCCGGGAAGTCGGAATCTGGATTGTTTGCCGTCGTTTCTACGCCCTCGCTGGTCCTGGCCCGGCCAGCGCCGCCGCCGCCGCCATGGGGAAGCGACAGCATCAGAAGGACAAGATGTAAGTTGAGCCGCAGCCGGGAGCGGGGCCCCGCTTGGCTCGGTGCCCGCCTGTCCCGCACTCCGCGCCGCCCCCCTTCCCTCTCTCAGAGCTGGTTCCCAGAGCCACTCTCAAATGCCGCTTCGTCCCGGAAGCCTCTGCCCCCCCCCCTCCCCAGGCGGAGAATTTCCCCCCACCCCATCCCCCAGCTCCTTGGTCTCCCGGGCTCCCGGTTCTAACGCACCATAGGTGCCCTCATCCGAGCGTGGCCCTCCCACCGCCTCGGCGCTGGGCGAGCACGGGCCCCTGCACTCTCGAGCTCTGCTCCTGAATCAGCCCCTTCCTGTCCTGCACCTCCAGTCTCCCTGCGTGCTGGTTCGTCGGCCTACACTCGTGCTCCGGAGTCTTGCAGTTTAAAACAAACTAGTCTTGCCCCATGCTCCCCTCCAGCTGCCGCTGTGGTTTGTTGTTTTTCCTTTCTAACAAGACGTGAAAGACTTGGATCTGCTTGCTGTGTTCTGATGTCTCTTGAAACCAGTCCAGGCAGGCTTTACTCCGCAGCACTACTCTTGTCAGGATCCCAGTAACTTCTCTGTTGCTAAGTCTAGTAGTCAGTTCACAGTTCTCATTTTGTTGGGCTTCTCAACAGCATGACACAGCTGACCACCTCGCTCCTTCTGAAGCCCTTCTTTGGTATGTGGGACACCATATGGTCTTGGTTTTATGTCTGCTTCAGTGGCCTCTCTAGCCTCAGTCTCCTTCGCTGGATCCTCCTCCCTCTCTCCCAGACTTCATACAGCCACGTCCTCCACGTTTCTTCTCCCTTTACCTTCTCCTTTGTAACCTCCTATCTTACAGTAGTCAGCTGCTTACTCAACATCTCCAGTTGGAGGTCTGATAGCCATCTCAAATTTAATATGCTCCCCCCTCATTTCCCCCCTCTCAGTGGTCACACCGCCATTTAGTTTCTTAGGTCAGAAGTCTGGGAGTTAGCCTTGGTGCCTCTTTCCTGCGGCTCTCTCCTCCCCCCGTTCGTCGGTGAATCCCTGTGGTTCTTCCAGGAACCACTTCTCACTCGTCCACCAACCCTCCCACAGGTGGAGTTTATGCCCGCTCCTCCTTGAACCTCTTGGTTGCCTCCTGATTGGTTTTCTGCTGCCTCTCTCGCTTGTCCCTCTCTACACAGGTGCCAGAGTGCTGCTTTGAGGACTTATGTTAGGTCATGCCAGGGCCCTACTCAGCACCCTCCAGCCGCTTTCCATACTGCTTAACGCTGATGCACAGCTCTTAGCCAGCTTCTGGGTAAGACCGAGTGGTCTGACCACCACCCTTCTTCATCTGCTGCCCCATGCCCCTGTGCACACTCTTCTTCAGTGACTTCACCCTTTTCTGAAAACACAACAGCTGTTCCTGTGTGAGGGCTTTTATATGCGATAAGCCTGCTTGGTCCCTCTGCCTGCAGAGTTCTTCCCCCAGATCTTCCCATGGCTAGCTCCTTTGCATCATCAAGCCTTGTGTTAAATTTTGTACATTTCCTTCAGAGGAGAGCAGGATTGTTTGTATTTGCTTATTAATTTGTGTATCCCTGTGTTCTGTTGTATTTACCATTATGTGTCTGACACACAGTAGGTGTTTAATAAGCATTTGCTGAATGAGTGAAACGATTCAGTCATCAGTTACTTCCCGAGACTGTTCTCTTTATAAAGGGGTGTGGTAGTAAGATTCTCTTTCTCTTCTTCAGGTACATTACCTGTGCTGAATACACTCACTTCTATGGTGGCAAGAAACCAGGTAAGGCATGAAATCCTTCTATTTCCCTTGGTGTGGATGTATGTGTGTGTGTGTGGCGGGGGGTGTAATTAAGGAATGATGTCTTCACTCTACAAGGAGACTGTAAAAATGAACAATGAACAAGAACACAGAGGGGGCACCTGGGTGGCTCAGTCGTTAAGCATCTGCCTTTGGCTCAGGTCATGATCCCAGGGTCCTGGGATCGAGCCCTGCATCAGGCTCCCTGGTCCGCTGGAAGCCTGCTTCTCCCTCTCCCACTCGCCTGCTTGTGTTCCCTCTCACTGTGTCTCTCTCTGTCAAATAAATAAATAAAATCTTTAAAAAAAAAAAAAAAACACAGTGTAGCAGACAGATAGGTTGAGAGCACATAATTCACAAAAGAGAAAATACGCTAAACACATGAGAAAATGTTTAATCTTGGTGATGATACTTTTTTTTGTGTGACAGCGTGTGTGAGAGCAAGTACAGGCTGGGGGAGGGGCAGAGAGAGAGAGAGAGAGAGTGTCTCAAGCAGACTCCACACTGAGCATGGAGCAGACGTGGGGCTCGATCTCACGACCCTGAGACCATGACCTGAGCCGAAATCAAGAGTCAGGAGCTTAACCGACGGCGCCATGCAGGCGCCCCGGTGGGGATATTTTTTGACGTATGTTAAAATAACATTCTTTTTTCTGTCAAGTTAATAGAGAATAAAAAGAATGATAATACCCAAATTTATCAAGGCTGCAGTAAAAAGAGCACGTTCTCATTAATTGCTGATGGGGATAAAACCAGCACAACCGTCTTGGAAAGCCAAGCCAGGCCCCACAGCAAAGGTGTTAGGGTTGTGGGAGAAACCCAGCCGCAGTGGCTTAAGCAAGTATGTGCTTTTTCCTCTAAGTGTGGTCTTTTTTTTTTTTTTTTTTTAAGATTTTTTATTTATTTATTTGAGAGAGAGAGAATGAGAGATAGAGAGCACGAGAGGGAAGAGGGTCAGAGGGAGAAGCAGACTCCCCGCTGAGCAGGGAGCCCGATGTGGGACTCGATCCCGGGACTCCAGGATCATGACCTGAGCCGAAGGCAGTCGCTTAACCAACTGAGCCACCCAGACGCCCTCCTCTAAGTGTGGTCTTGATGTATTCCATGTGTTCTACCTATTGAAAGGTTTTTTAACCCACACTAGTTGTTGCACTAGGTAGTTTACATGAACTTTTTCTTAACATGGGATTCAGTTATTGGTAAGAACACATCCGTGAGGTTATTCACAGAATAAACTTTCTTTTATTTTCATTTTTTTTTAAAGATTTTATTTATTTATTAGAGAGAATGAGAGAGAGCACATGAGAGGGGGGAGGGTCAGAGGGAGAAGCAGACGACTCCCTGCAGAGCAGGGATCCCGATGCGGGACTCGATCCTGGGACTCTGGGATCATGACCTGAGCCGAAGGCATCGCTTAACCAACTGAGCCACCCAGGCGCCCCTTTTATTTTCATTTTAAACAGATATTCCACAAGCAAATTTTCGTCGTTTGCCTTTTGATCACTGCAGGTAAGAGTTTCGAGTGTTAATCTGTTCCTCCTAGTTGTTTTCTGATACTCATTATTTGACAGTGAATCTGATCCTTGGAGATGCAGGTGTGGGTTCTGTCTGTGTTCCCCTACGTAGATCTTTCTTGAATTGAGAAAAGGTGACCTAACAGTGATAAGAGCTAATACTTACTTTCTGCTTATTCTGTGTCTGTACGTTCATGGGTTGTTTCTTTTAGCTTCTTTCTTACCTTTCAAGGTAAGTAGACTCTGTCGTTAAGCCTATTTTACACTTGAGAGGATCAGTGTTTACAAGTGGGAAGTCCCTCACCCCGGTGTCACATCTAGAAAGTGATGCCATCGAGGCTTGAACCCGGTGGACTGACTCCGGGCCCATGTCTTTCATGCTTTACTTTTAGTCCAGAGTCTAAGTAGTAACAGCATCAGTAATAGTCATGATGCTGTGAACCCCTTCCCCCCCGCCCTCAGGGAACACAGGTTACTGGTGGGGATGGGGAGAAACCCAGCTGTAGAGACACTCAGAGGCTTCTTCCCACCATGGTTGGTATGTGTATGAACAGAAGGTGGGTCTGCTGGAGAAGTGGGGCTAGCATTAATGAACCCCAAGACATTGGGGATTTGGGGATGGTCCATTTGAGCCTGAGTTTCCCCAAGCTCAAGCTGTGATCATCCCTGCTCTGGACACATGCATCGTGTGTATGTGTCCCATTGGTTTCTGATTCTGTAGGTCACGATGAGCCTTGAAAACTGACAGAGTGCTCCTAGTGCTCTACGCCAGACTCCACAGGGCAGTAGGGGCCAGGGTTGCAGCCACTCGGTCTGCCCCAGGAGGCTCCCATGGAGCAGTGAAGTGAGGGCTTTCCCTGCTCCTGGCACTTGCTCAGGGAGGGTCAACAAGTGAGACCGAGGCATCATTGGCTGGATTTCTCCCCACCAAGTTTTGTCATCAGCCTCATGGGAATCTGGTCTCATTCAGAGTGTGTATGAATGGATTTTATGGAAATACTTTCATCCTTGGTTCCCAGTTCCTCCAAGAAGTCTCTAAACTGTGTTTCACCCACTTTTTAACTACCTTGGGTTCTGGGTAAAAATGTGCTTTGAGAATATGCCCTTCAAGGCCCGTTTGGCAGAAGTTGCATGTGCGGTGTATTGCCATTTGCTTTGGTGTTGGGTCCTGTCTTCATCAGTCCCCAGCAGGATCACCACTGGGTTAGAGTAGTAGGTTGGGCCAGAGAGGGAGGGCTTTCTGGAGCAGCATCTGGGGAGGCGACCCTGTCACTGCCAAGCTGTCCAGGTCCGGGGGACTGATCTGTGCTGACCAAACTTAGAGATGACCGATTTACAAACAACCCGGGTCAGCCAGGGCTCTTGATGGCTAGCGATGGAAACCCCGTGCAAGGAAAAAGGGTATTGGCTCAAGCAAGTTCACCATGTACAGTTTCCCTTCATCTGTGTGTTCTGCTTTTCCTAAGTAGACCCTCCACGAGGTGGTAAATGGCTTGTGGCAGTCTGGGTCTCTACAGACCCATCTACCCCCATATCCATGTGTCAGAACTTACCCAGGGCTCCTAGGGCATTTGCCTGAGTCATGTGCCTACTCCTTGGAAATGGGGGAATTGTGTGCATACTTTAAGCAGGAGCAAGCAGGGCACCCCCAGACCAGGATAAGTCCACCAGAGTCTCTTGGGACGAGAGAGGGCAGCTCTCAGTAGAAGAGTGTGGCATGCCTGCCATGTGAGGTTTTAGGGAGTGAATTCCAGTCCTGCCACCCCAAGACTACCCTCAGGAACGTCTTTTGGGCTTGAACGTGATGACGTGTCACGTGACATGGCAGAGAGAGTGGGGAGAACTTGGCTGCTGTCGCCCCAAGGCCCCCTCAGCACCTCCTGGGGCCCTTGGCTTGTATTGATTGGTGTGTGTAGGGAGCTTCTGAGGGGCGGGGATGTGGGGGTCGCCTCTGTACTGGCACCCGGCCCCGACTGGGTAGAGGAGCCCCAGAATTGTTGGAGGGAAGCAGGGAGGAACAGAGGGAGAAGTCACGGTAGCCACCGCATGACCCGGAGTGACTCTGTCCTTTCTCAGTCTCTCTCTGCAGCCCTTCGTCTACCCAGTCTGCACCCCTGAAGGCGTCGTCTTTGACTTGCTGTGAGTTTTCCCTTGACTTTAGAGCTAACAAAAGGGGTGAGACTGTTGACACCCACTCAGGAAGGGCGGTATGGGACCAGCGGGAGGGGTTGTGGCTTCAGGTAGTGCCAAGCCAGGCCACACGCTGGGATCTTGGCAGCCTCGGGAGCATTGGGTGGCCTCTTGGGGACCCAGGAGAGACTTCCAGAGCCTCAGGGATGAGGCCGCAGTGTTGCTGTGACCCCGGGCAGGCAGCCTTGCTGGCAGGCACTACTGTCCCTGCCTGGGGTGGCATTGACCTCTCCCTGCGCATGGGGGAACCTAGGGTTCTAATTGGCCTACCTATACCTGTTTTGGATGTTAATGAACTTGAGTACTTTTCGCTTTATGAAAGCAGAGCCATAATTTAGGTACATACTTTCCCAGTGCTGTGTTTTGAAGCATGATGCTCAGTTTTATGTTCCAACATAAACCAGCTTCTATAACTTTTTCATGCTTCAGTCTCTTTTTAGAGAATGTGGAAAATACTTCAAAATAAAAGGAAAAATTTATCATAATCACACTATCCAGGATAACTACTGTTAACATTTATATTCCTCTTTTTCTGTGAGTTTATTTGTGGTACATGGTTGAGGTAATACTGCAAAGATAGTTCCTTTTTTTTTAAGATTTTATTTATTTGACAGAGAGGGAATGCAAGCAGGGGGAGTGGGAGAGGGAGAAGCAGGCTTCCCACGGAGCAGGGAGCCCGATGTGGGGCTCGATCCCAGGACCCTGGGATCATGACCTGAGCCGAAGGCAGATGCTTAATGACTGAACCACCCAGGCGCCCCATGCAAAGATAGTTCTGAATCCATTTTTCACTCAGTTGTGTCGTTCAGAATTCTCTGGAAGCCTGACTTTCGATGCTGGCCCAGTATCTCACTGTATGGACGTATCAACATTTACATGTATCTTTTTTCGCTGGTTTGTGTTGTTTATCCGTAACCACAGTAAAAACACTGGGCGTGTTTTTATTGAAACCCACGTATCCAGAAACACTCCTCACTTCCTTGGTCAAGGCAAGGTGCTAGCAGAAGTGAAGCGGAGCGAAGCCCATTCGCAGCTCTCACCCGGACGAGGCCCTCCTGGATGGTGGTGGCCTTGTCACCGGGCTGCACCTGACCGCCTGGCCGACGTTCTCTCTTCTCTTCCCTTCAGTAACATCGTCCCTTGGCTTAAGAAGTATGGGACCAACCCCAGCAACGGAGAGGTAGGTGGCCGGGCAGGAGTTTAAGTGATGCCGAGTGAACGCTGTCCTCACGTCTGTCCTTTGGGTCTGTGGTTTTCGCATACACACGAGCATGGTAGAGGACCGTTCACGGGGCCCTGTGAATGGGACTGTCCTCTCCTCTCTTCCCCACACTGTTCCTTTCTGGAAATGTTCCCTCAGGTACACACTTTTGTACAGGTGTACATCTTTCCTTGGGCCATGGATGCAGTCACACGCGCGAACTCCTCTGTACCTTGCTTTCACACCCCTTGGAGTGTTGGAGATCTGAACATCCGTGCGTCGAGCCCTGCCATGTTCTGTGGCAGCTGCACATGTCTTCCTGGGGGGCTGCCGCAGCGTTTCTGAACTCACCCGCTGTTACAGCAGACAGGGACTACCCTTGTGCATGTTTCTCTGGACACATATATGAGTGTCCTCCCAGGACTGCTGGGACACAGGGTGGGTGCATTTTCTGTTTTGGTAGGTACTGGCAGATTGTCCTCCAGGAAAGTTGCAAACGCCTGTTTCCCTTTCCCCCAATGAGTATCATCAGGTTTTAGATACCTTCCTTGCCTCACCTCAGCATGAAAGCGTTAATTTTTTTTTAAGTAATCTCTGCACCCAACCCAAATTCCAGCTTAGTCACCTTTTCTGGCTCCTCCCCCCCCCCCCCCGCATGCCTCCATCATCAAACCGTGGGGGTGTTTACGTTTCCCCCTTCCCCTGGTCCCTTTACTTTTCGGAGCCCTCTCGTTCCCTTGCACTGCAGGCCCATTTCTTCAGTTCCTCAGTTGCAGCCACTTACTCAGCGAGGTGTGAGCCTGCGCTGCCTGCAGGGCCTGTGAGCTGTCGGCCTCGGCCGGCTGTGGGAGGCAGCCGGCTGTGGGAGGCGGTCACCAGCAGGGAGCTGGGTGCGGGGGTGGGAGGGGGGTGGGAGGGGTTCTTGGGGATGGAGCAGCGCCGTCAAAGCTGAGACCAGGGATGGGGGGGAGATGGTGGTAGATAGAGGCCACATCACGGGCCTTGAAGGTTCTGGGGGTGCTGGAAGTCAGGCAGGGTTTTGGGCAGAAGCGTGTCACGATCGGGACTGTTTTAAAGGCTCGCCTTGGCTGCAGTGTGGGAAACGGGACTATAGGGAGGCAAGGGTGGAAGGTGGGAGAGCAGCCAGGGGGCTGCGCACTTGTCTGCACGAGAGGTGCTGTGCAAACTTGGACCAGGAAGAAGGCTGAGGAGGTGGCACAGCGAGGCTGGACCCACCATTGCTGCTACAAATGGACCTGTGGGCCTTGCAGGGCCGTCACATCAGGGTCTGTGCTTCCCTGGGGCTGGGGGGAGCCCAGTAGGGGCCTTTTAGTGCAGGCCCATCTCGGGAGGACTGGATCAGTTAGCATGTCCGATGCCAGGGATGCCAGGGACGGACGGGTGGAACCAGGTGATGTAACCTGAGCTTGGCATTCCAGGCCAGTGGGGCTTCAGCAGGAAAGCAGACCCCTCAGAAGCAGAGCCCCGAGTGGCAGGAGGGATTTGGGTGCACGAGTAGGGGCAGGCAGTTGGGGTGGAGGTGGGATGAGGAGGGCCAGCAGGGAGGGTGGGGACTTCTGTGGGACCTTGGAGGACAGTTGCCTCCAGGGTGCCTGGGGAGATGTGTGAGGCTGAGAGCTTAACCTGATGAAATACGGAGGCAGCCGGTTCTGGCGCCGTGGACCTGAGAGCTGGCCGGAGCAGGGCGTTGGAGCCCTGTCTGCTAGGATAACGCCCTGTCCTGACGGGGAAGACAGCAGGCTGCGTGAGGCCAGGTCAGTTCTATGACGGAGACCCTGGAGGCCATGCAGGGTGGAGGCCCCCATCAGGGAGGCCCAGGAGGACCTGGGCTCTGTGAGCCTTGACGGGGAGGCAGTGAGGGCCAAGCCGTGTGAACCATGTCCTGGTTGCCAGCGTAGGTAGGACAGGGGAAATGTCATTGGTTCTTTACTTAGCGGAGGTCTTGTTACCTGAGTCCTGGAGGCCCTTCTGTGCTGTCTAGGCTCCTCTGGCCTCTGTGACAGAGTGTAGGGTGCTGGGGGCCCCTCGGGTCAGGTGGGTGGCTCACCAGTGGTCCTTCCCTGCCCTTGGAAGAAAGGGGGCTAGACTGGGGGTGCATGTTCTGGGCCCGGCCACCAGAGAAAGCCTGTGGGCTTTTTTCTCAGACGGTTAAGGTGGTGCTTGCAGCCTGGCCTCTCTAAGGAGAGCGTTGTCCTTCGGGTGTCTGCTTTGTCCTTCTCAGTTTTGGTCATTTGAAAGTGTGACTGGCAGTGTTTTCCTGTGAGGCCTTCTACTGGGAGCCACTGTGGGCTTCCGGGGGCTTCCTGTGGGGTCCGTGCTGCCTGCCTGTGCCCCGTGATTGGCTTGTGTTCGGGGTTCGTTGCCTTCCCTGATGTGAATGCCACGCCTTCCTCAGTGGAACAGCCGGGGTCAGGCTGAGGGTCTGCATTCTGCGCTCCCAGGGGTGGCTTTCAGGCCCCACTGTGCCCCTGGTCTCCCTCATATCTTCTTGTCCATGCTTGTCCTCACGGCCTCGGTCTCCTTCCCCGTGGATATTGTCATTCGGGTGCCTCTGGGGCGCTTTTTGTTGCTTTGGGCATTTTGCTTCACAGGTGCTCTCCAGGGCCCCAAAACCTCGGCCTCTGGCCAGGCCCAATATGGCAGCTAACCAAGGGCAATTCACCGAGTGGCCCATGTCACTTCTCGGGGACCCAGGAGGAGCATGTTATGTGCAGGGTCATGCACCCCGGCTGCTTGGGCCTGAAGGAAGAGGGCTATCTGATGGGAGCAGCCTCGGAGCGAGGACCCTGTTGTCTGCCCTGGAGTTGAATGCTCACCTGCACTGGGCGGAGGTGGGGGGGAGGCGCGCGAGGACACAGGGGCCCGGCCCCAGGATGCCCACCAGCGTTTTCTTCTGTGCCTCGGGTAGGCAGGGCCGGGCCCGCACCAGAGTGGCCAGGGGCCGCCGGGATGTGGGCCCTCAGTCAGGCGCTCCCGGGCATGCAGCCTTGCCTCCCCCTTCTGGGGTCTCTCCACGGCCACCTTCACTTGCTCCAACCCAGGCCCCCGACTCCACGGCAGCTTTTTTCCTCTGGCTGCCTGGACTTTGTTTTATTGTAAGGTTTGCCAAAGAAGAGGTAAACCGCAGACAGCGCAGGAACTGTGAAAAATAGAAGACCCATCACAGTCACTCAGCATGTAGGGGTGTTGATTTCTTCCCCCACCCACTTTTTAATGTTCTTTCTTAAATAGTCCTACAGCAGAACAGTAGGGGCACGCCTGTGTACCCCTCAGCCAGATGAAGAAATACATTCATTTTTAACTTCAGAAGTAGTCAGTGTGTCAGGGCTCACAATAAAAATGTGTTAACGTTTGAGAAGTATAAAACACCCCTCTACCCTTGGCCCCTAGGTGGGGGTCACCCCTGTGAGCGGGTCAGTGTGCCGCTCAGAGGCTGGGGGTTCCATGGGGCGGCCCCTGCGGCTTTACCTCTTGCCTGCAGCTGTGAAGGCTTGCATGGTCAGAGACTTTGCCCATCTCTCTGCTTCACCCAGCCTCATAGGCTCTGTGTTTCTTCATATCAGCCACTAACTTGTTATTACTAATTACTGATTCTTCTTCTTCCAGAAATTGGACGGGAGGTCCCTGATCAAGCTGAACTTTGCAAAGAACAAGGAAGGTGAGTGATCCCTTTTACAGCCAATTCGAAGACTGTGCCACAGACCCCAATGGCCCTGCCTCTCACCAAATTCTCTGCAGAATCCATCGTTCCTTTCTGATCAAGCCGGACACTTAATTTTTCAAATATGTAGGGGCGCCTTGGGCTGACTGAGTCAGTGGAACCCGCAACTCTTGATCTTGGTGATGTGAGTTCAAGCCCCACATTGGCAGTAAAGATTACTTAAAATAATAAAGTGGTTAAAGTGGCAAAGGTTATGTGTACTTTACCCCAATTAAAAAAAAAACGGTGTAACATAATTTTTCCTTAAAGGTCCAGGTAGTTTAAAGCTGGGGATGGGGTGGGGGATGAAATGTTGAGTTTTGGGCACTTCTTCCCACAAGGGCAGTGGGGCCGTGAGGGTTGCCGACGGCCTTTGTGCATTCAGTTGGGCCCTGTGGGCATGGACCCTGTCTAGCTGCGACCCTGGTCTGCTCATTGCTGGGGGCAGGAGCTGCTCAGAGGCCCAGGGCGGGTAGGTGTGGGGGTGTGATGGATTTGCTGGGCAGTTTTTCGGCTGGGCTTCTCCTCACCACTGCTTGTGAAGCCCCACCCCAGCCCAGGGATCTTGCTTTGTAGTCCTCCACACCCTCCACTGTTCTTGTCAGATACCAGAGCTGAGGTGACCCTCGCAGGCACCGACCTTGCTCTTGGTTCTTTGTGGGTCTGGCACAGTTCTCTTAGCCCATGCAGATGCCACGGTTGAGGTTGTCTGCGCTCCTGGCAAGATGCTGAGGCACCTGATGCTGGGCCCTGACACGCCTGTGTCGCCCCAGAGCCAGTGCCGGCTCACCGTAAATGAGGGAGTGGCCTTGACAAAACAGAAGCACAGTGGTTTATGGATGGTCTTGGAGGTCAGGGAGCTCCACGCTGGTAGCCAAGCACTGTAGACCCCCTGCTCTGAGATTGGCTGACTCAGAGGCCCACAGTGTGTCTCTCATTTAGCACGTATTTACTGAGTGCCTGCCATGTGCAGAGACAAAACAGGCCACATCCCTCCTGCAATAAAAGGAGCGTACGTTATGGTGAGGGAGGAGACTGGAAAACAGTTCCCCATAGTGTGTCAGATGCTGCTGCTTCCAGCAACCGAAGATAAGGAGCGGGGAGGAGAGAGTCATAGCAGGACACGCTGACGGGGTTTGCGTGGGAATCCGATGAGAGAGGAGGCATGAGGGGATGTGGGGGAGAGCATTCCGGGCAGAGGGCACAGCCAGTGCAAAGGCCCTGAGGAGGCCTGTATTGCTGGAACAGTGTGAGGGGTGGAAGCAGGGGGCTACGGTCAGAGGGGTCGGGGTTGGGGCGAGCAGAGCAGTCATGCAGGGCATGGGCAACCACAGGACTCTCAGCTACCAGCCAGAGAGGAGAGACGAGATCTGACCATTCACCTGGGGTTTTTTTTTAACATTTTTTACCAGGAAGCACTTTTTTTTTTTTTTTTTTTTAAGTACACTCCACACCCAGCATGGAGCTCAGTGCAGGGCTGGAACTCACAGCCCTGAGATCAAGACCTGAGCTGAGATCAAGAGTTGGATGCTTGGGGCACCCGGGGGGCTCTGTAGGTAAAGTGTCTGCCTTCGGCTCAGGTCATGATCCCAGGGTCCTGGGATCAAGCTCCGAGTCAGACTCCCTGCTCTGCGGGGAGCCTGCTTCTCCCTCTCCCTCTCCCTCTACCTGCCGCTCCCCCTTCCTTGTACTCCCTCTCTCTGTCAAATAAATAAATAAAATCTTAAAAAAAAAGAGTGGGATGCTTAACCAACTGAGCCACCCAGGCGCCCCTTTTGCTTTGTTGTTGTTTTAAAAGATGTATTTATTTGGGGCGCCTGGGTGGCTCAGTCGTTAAGCATCTGCCTTCGGCTCAGGTCATGATCCCAGGGTCCTGGGATCGAGCCCCACATCGGGCTCCCTGCTCGGCAAGAAGCCTGCTTCTCCCTCTGCCACTCCCCCTGCTTGTGTTCCCTCTCTCGCTATCTCTTTCTCTGTCAAAAAATAAATAAAAAATCTTAAGAAAAAAAAATAATAAAAGATGTATTTATTTGAGAGTGAACAAGAGCATGGGCATGTGTGTGAGGAGAGGGAGGGCCCGAGGGAGAGGAGGAGAGAGAATCCTCAAGCAGATTCCACACTGAGCACGGAGCCTGCCATGGGGCTCAATTCTAGGACCCTGAGACCGTGACCTGAGTCGAAGTCAAGAGTCGAATGCTTAACCAACTGAGCCACCCAGGTGCCCCTTTGGCTTTGTTTTTAATTGAAAACTGCAGACACATGAAAGTAGAGAGAATTAGTACGGTGATCCCCTGCCCCGTAGCCATGACCCAGCTTCAGTTCCTGTCCCCTCAGGGCTGTGTGATTTTATCTGCTCCCCTGTGGTACCTGGCTTCGGTAATTTTCAAGCACGTATCAGATGCCATGTCATTTCATGCCTAAGTACTTCAGTGTTTATCTGTAAATGATAAGGACTTAAAAATTAATCAGTACTATCATCACACCTAAAAATTTAACAGGAATTCCTTAGTATCATCAGATATCCAACCTGTAGTCAAAATTCTGGAATGCTTTCATAATCATTTTTTTATAGTTTTCAAATTAAGATTATTTATTTGACAGAGAGACAGCGAGAGAGGGAACACAAGCAGGGGGAGTGGGAGAGGGAGAAGCAGGCTCCCCGCTGAGCAGGGAGCCCGATGTGGGGCTCGATCCCAGGACTCTGGGATCGTGACCTGAGCTGAAGGCAGACACTTAGTGACTGAGCCACCCAGTCGCCCCTGAAATGAAGATTTTTTAAAAGTCCGCACAAAATCCGTGTGGTTGCTATCTCCTAAATCTGTAATCTGTAAATATCCCCCCCCCCTTTGTTCCCACAGTGTATTCGTTGGGACTTACTTGAACGGGCTTCCTGGCTGCGTGGTGTGGAGTCGGCGGGGCAGGGGCAGGGAGGGCAGTGGGAGTTTGTTGCAGTAATGCAGGCGAGGGTGTAGGAGGTTAGGGAATGTGGCAAGGTCTGAGAGGGAGGAGGAAGAGTCCAGGGTGGTGGCTGCTAGCAGTGGGCTGGGGGCTGATGGTGCAGACTCCTCCAGGGAAGGGGGTGCAGGGCTTGGGTTTTGCAGGATGACTAGGAGTTTCCCACCGGGATTGGAGCAGGGGGCTTGAGCGGCTGACTGTCCCTCTGGGTCTCCGTTTTGGGCCTGCTGAGACAGGGTTCTGCCTCCTCCCTTGCTCTGACCTTGGCCCTTTCTCTGGTTTTGCATGGGCCTCCTTTCTAGGAAAGTACCACTGCCCAGTGCTGTTCACCGTGTTCACCAACAACACCCACATCGTAGCTGTCAGGACCACTGGCAACGTCTACACCTATGAGGTGGGTTCTCAGGAACTGTGTCACATGTAGGCTTTTCAGGTGTGTGGCTCAGGGCAACTCTGGGCTGACGCTGAGTATGCACCAGGCACTGTGGGGACAGCCTGGCCCCTTGGAGCCTGCGTTCTGAGAGTTACCAGTGCAGTCAAGAAGAGATGTGCCTTTCCTGTGGCCTCCAGACCGGAAACCTGGGGCGTGGTTTTGTACCCCAGGGGTCCGCCCCACAGTCTTTGTCTTCGTTGATCAGGCCCTGGGAGGGAACCTGTGCTCTGAGGGCAGGCCCAGGCCTGAGGGGAGTGCCGAGCCAGCACCCCCCTGCCCCGCTGGCGTCTCCCAGCGGGGCAGATGCAGGCTGGTAGGCAGGCCCCGCTCCCCACCCTCAGCCTGCTGCTCCGGGTGGGCCGGCAGAGGGCACAGCAGCAGCCGTGTTGGCGCCGTGCGGCAGGGAAGCCCCCTCTGAGCTGTTTTCCCACCTGTCCCTGGCCGTTGGCAGGGTCTGGGTGGTCAGTGCTGCCCTAGGGGCTCCGGGGTCACTTTTGCCCAAAGAGTGCACAGATTTGGTGCGAGGGGTTTGGTAGAGCTGCATGGCCAGCCTTGTTGAGCCCGTTTGCTGATGTCGCATGTGTGTCATGGGAGTGTCCTTAGGTGAGCCTTGCTGAGATGGCTGATTCGAGTCTCTGGGGCTCAGCAGGCTCCGCCCTCCGTGATGGGGCTCTTGGCAGTGGGCACGCGGTCGGGCCCTCTTTTTCCTCAGCCCTGGAATGGCGCTGGCACCCACCCAGGGCCAGGGTTGGGGCAGCCACTGTAACAGTGGGCTCCTTCCTGGCTGCAGGCAGTGGAGCAGCTAAATATCAAGGCCAAGAACTTCCGAGACCTGCTGACGGACGAGCCCTTCTCTCGGCAGGACATCATCACCCTCCAGGTGGGTGCCCTCTGCCAGCCCCACCTCCCCGCCCAGGCTCTGGGGCCTGCCTGGTTGCGGTTTCCCAGCTGCCCCCAGCTCCTGGCAGCGCCCCCAGCCGCAGCGCCCCTGCTCTCTCTCAGCCCGGGTCTTCACACTGCCGCTTCCGTCTGGCTGTCACGTCTCTCCTTCCGATGCCCGTCCTTGCTGTGTCAGGGCTGCTCATCTCTGCCCCCAAAGCCATCTCCGTACCCAAGTGGGAGAGGACAGGATGCTGTGTGCCCTGCCCCAGCGTTGAGCGTAGGACGTGCCTCTAGGTGTCAGCCCTGAGTGGGTTCCGGAAAGACCTGGACTTAGAAACTCTGGAGGTGGCCTTCGTGGGCCGTTCCTGTCCTTGGTGTGTCCCATCCTCATCAGCGGTCCGTGTGTGCTCCCTCCCATGGGGTGGGCTCGCCGTCACCAGGGCCCGAGGCACTGCGGGCTTCGTGGCAGCCGGGCTGAAGGGAGCGTCGGGGGGGTGTGGGAGGCCTAAGGTGGCTGCCCCATGTCTGCCCACATCCCCTAGTTGGATGCCTGCCCGTTCGTGCTCATCAGCCGTGTGCCGGGGAGAAGGGGACACAGTGTGCCACTGTCCCCGCTCCTGCTCGTGGCCCTGCCTGGGCAGAGCCCGCTCCTGACGCCTGGTGCCCTCCATTTCCTGCTCAATACCCCAGATCTCTGTGCTGCCCCCGGCCTCTCTCCTTCCGGGCCTAGGACCCTCCGGCCACCTGCCCATCCTTTGCTGCCCGGCTCACTCTGCTGTGCGTGTTCGTTTTGCTGCAGGACCCCACCAATTTGGACAAATTCAACGTCTCCAATTTCTTTCATGTGAAGAATAACATAAAAATAACAGATCCTGGTAGGTATAACCACAGCTGGCCTGGGTGCCAGGGGTTTGGGTGAAACAGGTCAGTGCTTTCTGGGTAAAGCCCTCACCTTGCTGGGGGCGGGAGCATCCAGGAACCTTGCTCAATCCCAGACCGGCTGATGCTTTGCTTCTGTGCCAAGGTTGGCAGGACCGCACTCGCCCACACCCGCCCAACAGGGAGTCCCAGCTGGGGCCCATATGCTTGGTGCCCACAGCCACATATAGTGGAAGCCTGGCTCCTGCCTCCACCCCAGGGTCCCTTGAGGCCACATCCTCTCCCAGGTCCTCCCCTCGCTCCTTAGAAATTGTCTCTGTTCCCACCTGCGGGGATGGGTGAAGAGTGTGGGCTGCTGGGTCCCTCTGGCGTGGACAACAGGTCCTGGGAGGGGGGGTGTGACTGGGGCCAGGGCGCAGCTGGGGACAGAGTCCAGAGCTGACCACAGTCGAAACTGGGGGTGGGCTGACTTGCCATCCTTGCAGGCTGTTGCCTCAAGCTCTTCCCCGCACCCCCTCCCCTGCATCGTGGCCACCAGGAAAGTGTCACCGTGTGGAGGCTCGGATTATGTGGCCTGCGTCCTGTTCCGGGCTTTTGTTGCAGCTGGCTTTGGCCTCCTGTCCCCGTCACGCCTGTCTGGGGACATTGCTGGGGGATCGGCTGAGCAGGGCCACTGTGCTGTTTTGTAGATGAAGAAAAGGCCAAACAGGACCCATCTTATTATTTGAAAAATACAAACGCCGAGACCCGCGAGACGCTGCAGGAGCTCTACAAGGAGTTCAAAGGGGACGAGGTCCTGGCGGCCACCATGAAGGTCCCCGAGAAGAAGAAAGTGGACAAGCTGAATGCTGTGAGTAGGCAGAGGGCCACACAGCTGCTGGCATAGCCAGCCTGCCCATCCCAGCCCCTCAGAGGGGTCCTGGGGGAAGGGGACCCTGGGGGAAGGGGCTTGTGGGGGCCCTGGGGTACATTTGAAGGGAGGTAGCCGGGACCTCTCAGAGCCCAGCTGCCCCTCGGGGGCCCAGAGGTGGCCTGCCCTGAGGCTGGGGGTGGCAGGTACATGTGCTGGGGGCCACACGGGGTCTGTATCTCACCCTGGCCTAAGCTCAGCAGCCTGGAGTGGGTAAGCTGGGTGGACCTCTGCCTGGTTACCATGGGACACTGCAGCCTTGGGACAATGGGGAAGGGACAGAGCTGGTCACATGGTGGCCAGAGGAAACCCAGGGAGAGACTGCAGGGGTGTTTGAGGGTGCCGTGGTGCTGAGGGGAGGGCACAGCTGGTGCCCACTGCCTGGGTGTCACGTTTGCTTCTCACAACACCCACCGGTTGGTCCTGAGGCCCCCAGTTGGCAGTGATGGTGCCAGGATTTGTGCCCCGGCCTGTTTGGCCCAAAAGCTGTTCCTCCCCCTGTTCAGGCAGGGCTATGGGGGATAGAGGGGGCTCCAGGGGGCTCCGTGGCTCCCAGAGAACTATCCAGGAAAACTTCCAAGAGGAAAGAAAGTTTGTTCACAGTTCCACCCCTTTAAAACAATAGCACTTAGCATTTTGGTGCATTTGTTTCTAATGGGGAGAAATCCCCCGTTTTTTCTCCTTCTCTGTTTTGGATAAAAATACAGCATATTGGGGTTTATTTTTTGCTGATTAAAAAAGCAATGTGTTTACTGTAGAAGATAGAAATCTTTGAAAAGGAATTAGAGTCCCTCATACTGTGAACCCCAGCAGTGACCAGTTCCTACTAGTTCAGTCCAGGGTCTCAGTTGCCACGAGAGCCTTGGCCACTTGGGCCTTAGCCTCCTGCCTGGTCCAGGCCCTCTGTCGCACGTGCCCCCGCTCGGTCCCCTCACTCCCTGAGCCTTTAGGGAGAGGGCCAGGCGCCCCGGAAGTCCCTGTTGGGCTCTGTGGGTGGCAGCCAGGGACAGCTTTTTGGAGGAAGGGCACCAAACGGCCCCGAGCAGTGGGGTGCCGGCCTCCCGGGCTGTTGCTCATCGGCCCCCTGGTTTCCTCTACAGGCGCACTATTCCACTGGGAAGGTCAGCGCCTCCTTCACCTCCACCGCCATGGTTCCAGAGACCACGCACGAAGCAGGTAGCTGCCCGTGCACCTCCATCGCAACAGTGCTGCCTCACAGCGGCCGAGGGCAGGCATCCTGCCCCCCCCATCCCCCCCAAGCGTCACTCCATCGTGCCTGGCCCTCACGGGGGCTTAGGCAGCTCCCACGTGGTCAGGCAGCGACAGGCCCTTTCAGAAAGTGTGTGTGTGTCTGGGGGGCGGGCAGAGGCTGCAGCAGGGGCTGGGCCAGGGGCAGGAGGTCCTCCCTCTACCCATCGGGGCTGTACCACCCTGGGCTCCAGTCCACGTCCCACCTCAGCACCGGCCCTGCACCCCTTCCTCTCGTTTTTTTGGCCTAACAGGTCCCCTTCCTCCCCACCGACCCCCCAGCTTTTCTAGTACGCGCCCCCCCAGTTGCCAAGCCCCACCCCGTCCCTCTACCCCTAGACCCACCCTGTCCTGCGGCCAGGGTCCTGTGAGCCCGGGCTTGGCTGGGGGCGACCCTTGGGCTCTCCCCAGAGCCTGGTGTGTGGGGTGGAGGGGTGTTGCCTCAGCCAGAGGGCAGCACAGAGTTCGGGCCTTGGTTTGCAGCTGCCATTGATGAGGACGTGCTGCGCTACCAGTTTGTGAAGAAGAAGGGCTACGTGCGGCTGCACACCACCAAGGGCGACCTCAACCTGGAGCTGCACTGCGACATGGTGCGTGTGGCCGCCGTCCCCGCCCCGAGTCCGCGCTCCCTTCCGGGGTCTTAAATCCATAGCTGCCCTTGGTATGCGTTTGTGGTAGAACGAACGTTCCACTTGGTCCCTAGAAGGTCTGATGCCTGCAGTTCCCTCCCCGGAAGGGACCCCGTTAGCCGCGCACTGTTTCCTAGGCCCGTGTTCTGGGCAGCGGTGTGTGCACCCATCACACGAAAGGGGTCAGGCCACACACACACACACACACACACCTGCCCCTCCCCACATCCCTGCCCCCCACTTGCTCGAGTGTCTCGGCGGCCCTCGCTCAGGGTCACACACACACACACACACCCCTGCCCCCCACTTGCTCGAGTGTCTCTCGGCGGCCCTCGCTCAGGGTCACCGCAGATGCAGGTGTCCGCCGTTCAGCCTCACGGGTCCTGCTTTACCACATCCGGGCCGTGCAGCTGACCAGCACCCCTGCCTCATAAGGGCGCCGGGTGGTGCTTGCCATCCTCCCATCGGCTGCTCCTCACCTCACAGAAGTATCTGGGCTGTTTTGTAGACGCCAAAGACCTGTGAAAACTTCATCAAGCTCTGCAAGAAGCAGTATTACGACGGCACCATCTTCCACAGATCCATCAGGAACTTTGTGGTGAGTGACAACGAGAGTCTGCACTGGCTGCAGACCTGCGCGTCTGTGGAGGCCGTGGGACTCCTGGCCAGGGCGAGGGCTGCAGGTGACTCCTGTGAGTCGTACCCGTGAGCCCCTCCTCCTCAGGGGCGGGGAGTGTGCGGGCTGACCCCCCCGCGCTGGGCTCCTGAGAGAGGTGGCCCGGGAGGGCTCTCTCACCAGAAACAGGTGGGGAGTTTATTCAGGTGGCGGTGGGCAATGGCCGCAGGCACGGGCCGGGCCTCGGGCTCATGGGGCTCAGTTTGCTGACTGGCTTTGATTCCTCTCACAGATCCAGGGGGGTGACCCCACCGGCACAGGCACAGGTAGGCCGAGGGCTTCCCTGGCAGCTTTGGCTTCTCTGTAGGCCATGGGGGGGCAGTTGGGGGGCGGGGTGCCGTGCTGAGAGTTCCAGATGTGGGATCTGATAGGCCAGCCACAAACCTGCTGTGTGACCTCAGGCACATTCCTCAGTGTTCTCACTTTAAGAGGGTTGCAAGGTCTAGATGGTTGGGGAGAGGCAACACGATGCCCTCTGGCCGCTCTAGAGACCCCTCTGGGCCTGTGGGCTCCGAGGGCCCAGGCCGCTCCCTCACCCAGTGTGGTGTGAGCAGTCATGACCTGCAGCTTCCACCCTTTACTCCTTGTACTAGGGGTCCAGCCGCACGCAGGGTTCTGGGGGGCTGGGGAGGGATCCATGGGGAGATGGTGATGAGGGTCCCTCGGGGCCAGGGCTGCCTTCTGAAGTACTTGGTGGTGCCCCCCGGAACTCAGCACACATTTCTGGAGCTGGGCTGTGTCCCACTGGCGGCGCTGGGCCAGGATCCAGCGTCGGTGCTGCCAGCCATGCTGCTTCCTCTTGCAGGCGGGGAGTCATACTGGGGAAAGCCCTTCAAAGACGAGTTCCGGCCCAACCTCTCGCACACGGGCCGGGGCATCCTCAGCATGGCCAACTCGGGGCCCAACGCCAACAAGTCTCAGTTGTGAGTCAGAGGGGGCCTGTGGGTGGGTCCTCCCTCTCAGCTTTATCCTAAAGGGTGTGCTCAACCTGAATCCCTCCCAGAAAGCGGGCAGCGCCCTGGAGGAGACTCCTAGCACCCCCTTCCCCCCCCCCACTCCCATGTGTGTGCCTTGTGGCACGTGCCCATGAAGGAGCGTGGGTGGTTGCTCAGAGACCCAGGGAGGCCGCAGGAGGTGGCAGATGCTGGCCCCAGGCAGGGGTGGGGTGGGGGGCAGGGGGTGGCCTAGGATGTGCACTGCATTTATAGAAATGGGGAGACTTGGGGAGGGTGTGAGAATTGTGCTTGCAGCGGTGATAATGTCTGATACGTGCGACACCCAGGCTGGTCCTAGCAGGTCAGCCGAGGGGGTGAGAATGGGCTGGAAGTACGGGCCTGGGTGGCCCCGTGTTCTGATGGAAAGGCAGGGGGTGAGGGCCCAACGGGAGTGAGTGTGGGGAGGGGAGCGGCCAGACCCAGCCTGGCAGGGCAGGGGTGGAGGGGCATCTTCGGGGTAGTGGCAAGACAGTTTTCTGGAGGAGCCTCACGCCGTGGGGTGGGCAGGACAGGGGAGATCCTTCTGTGCAGCGTGGTGGCCGGTAATGGTGGCATTGGGAGTGATGGCTTTCCTGCACATTTGATGGGATTCCCCTGCAGAACCGTCCGGTTGGGTGGAGTGGGGGTGCCCATCCAGCCAGAGTTTCTCTTGACCTGTCTGTCCTTCCCTCTCTGGGAGCTGTAGGAGTTCACCTGAGTTTCGTTATTTCTGATTTTTAAAAATTCTTTGTTTCTGCTTGTTCTTTGTCGACTTTTTCCTCTTTGTTCGTTTTTTATGAGGAGGTTTGTATTTTTCTTCAGAGCTTTTTAGATTAGGCATCTGTATTCCAGATATTTTTTTCCAGTTATTTCCAGTTGGAAAAATTGCCCATAGTATTTTAAAATATATTCCAGTATATATTTTGAGCCACCGAGGTGCCCCTAATTTGATATTTTAAAATCAAAATTCTTTTACATTTCCGTTGTTCATATAGAGAAAGTCTATTTTTGGGGGCGCCTGGATGGCTCAGTTAAGCATCTGCCTTCAGCTCAGGTCATGATCCAGGGTCCTGGGATCGAGTCCCACATCGGGCTCCTTACTCAGCGGGGAGTCCGCTTCTCCCTCTGCCCCTCCTCCTGCTTGTGTGCATGCTCGCTCTCGCTCTCTCTCTCTCTCTCTGAAAGAATCTTTTTTTAAAAAGTCGATTTTAGATCTGACTACTTTATTAAATTCTCTTATAATTCGAATAGTTTTTATTAAGAGTGGCTTGGGTTTCCTAGATACTCACGTTTATCAGCACAAGGTGGTCCGCTCTTCCAGCGTGAACACCAGTCCCCTCACGGTCAGGCCTGTAAAGACAGGACGTGGGCATCCTGCTGGCCAGGTTACATGCTGTTTTGCCATCTGATCAAATTTGTTGCTGGGCCTACTTTTTTGGGGAGAGGCTGTGTTTCCAGATGCTTTTCTCTTAGCATCTGTTACTCTGGTCAGACCGTTTTCTCTTCCTTCTGGAATTTGTGGATAGAAGCTCTGGGTTGACCAGCCTTGCTGTCACTGTTTTGTCCTGGAGTAAAGCTGGGCTGGTCCTCGCTGCACCGGGTGGTCCGCCGGCCACTGCTTTAGGCCGCGTGCCGCAGTCCTCACCCCAGAGCCGGGGCTGGCTGGTTGGGCCTGAGGCCCAGCGTGCCTGGGGAGGGTTAGCTTACATTAGGGTCTGCTTGGTAAGGTAGCTTGCCAAGGACAGCTTTTGCGGATTCTTCACGCTAATTCATTGGTCAGGTTCCACTTTGTGCGCCATCTGGGTAGCTTCTGTTTTGCCAGAATGTAACTGGTCCATCTCTAGATTTCTAAACTTCCGTGGTGTCTGCATTCCTGCTCTCCTTAATGGTTTACAGAGGGCTTTTCTGGTTTTATTTTATGTAATTTCCTTCTGTTTCTGTCTTCACTGGCTTCCTCCGGTTTCTCTCCTTTCTCAGGCTCCACCTCCGCAAACATCCGAATCTGCACGTGCTGTCGGCACGCGCTTCCTCTTCACTGTTTTCTTAGGTCAAAGAACCAATCATAGACTTTACTTCCTTTCTGGTACATCTTTGTTTGCCCTGTTACTGCTTGTCTTTCCTTCTCTTCAGGACTATTTCGTTCCCTTTTGAGCTTCCTGACCTGTGTTAGAAACGCATGGCAGAGAGACCCACTTGGTGGCCAGAGTTCAGGTCTGCATACTTGTGGGTGTTGGCGTCTGTGGAGACTTTTTTTTTTTTTAAAGATTTTATTTATTTGAGAGAGAGAATGAGAGATAGCGAGCACGAGAGGGGAGAGGGTCAGAGGGAGAAGCAGACTCCCCGCCGAGCAGGGAGCCCGACGCGGGGCTCGATCCTGGGACTCCAGGACCATGACCTGAGCCGAAGGCAGTCGCTTAACCAACTGAGCCACCCAGGCGCCTGGCGTCTGTGGAGACTTGCCCGCTGGCCGTGTGTGGTCAGGCCTGGTGGGCTCCGAAGTGGTGCTGTCCCCGGTGGAATGGGTTTCAGCCTCTGTCCCTTGCCGACCGGGTGTGCCGTGGGCCGTCGGGACGTGGGCGGTATCGTTCGGTGTCCTGGGAGGGCAGCCTGGCCCACACTGCTTCTCTCCGTCCCTTGTTAGACCTCTCTTTCCGTTCTTTTTACTTGGAGCTTTCCAGATTCTCGATGTTTTAGGGCTTTTTAATGACACACACTTAGATTTGGGGTTATTTTAATTCAAACTGACGGTCTCAGGGTCATACTTAACTTTCCAGTCAGTATCCATATTTTCTGTTATCCTAATTTGTACTTCCTGGTGTCCCCCCCCTTTTTTTTTTAAATATTTCCTTTCTTCTTTTCTCTTTCTCCTGCTTTGGAAGTTAAGTGTCACTTCTGGCTTTAAGTAGATTTAAAGTCTGCAGTTACCAGTTAATCTCTCTCTCCCTCCCTCACAGACAGACCCTGCCCACGCCGCCCCCCCAGCCCAGCCAGCTCCCATGTTCACATAGTTGGACATTTAAATTTTACTTATTTCTGCACCAAATTCGATGTCAAAATTTACTAGGTCAGCATTTAGGGGTGTTTACCCACGTTCCTCGGCGTCTTTGCTCCCTTTCCCTGCCCGTCTCCTTTCTTTCAGTTCAGAGTCCCTGCTCCAGCTGCTGTCACGATGGGACGGGCTCTGGTGTCCAGTCCCCCCCCCCGCCTGCGGGCTCTGACGGTGTCTGTCCGCCAGAAGCTGGCAGCAGCCGGGGCTGGAGGCAGAGCTGGGGGCCCGGTCCCCTGGGCGGCCTTGGCTGACGGCCTGCCCTGACCAGGCAGGGTGTGGGGGCCACGCACACAAGGAGCTCCAGCTTCCCAGAGCTGCTCTGGGGGGAAGGGGATGCCTGGTGTGTGCCCAGAAGTCTTGAGGGCCAAGCAGGCTGCGGTGGGGGGGTGTGGGGAGCTTGCAGGCTCTTCCTGATTCCCCTTCTCCCCCTCGCCCAGCTTTATCACCTTTCGCTCCTGCGCGTACCTCGACAAGAAGCACACCATTTTCGGGCGGTAAGAGGTCTGGGGTGCTGGTGCGGGTGGGACCCCCTCACTGCCTTGCCCCCACACCTGGCTCAGTGCCTGCTTGCCCCCACAACCATCACTGCTGCGGTCACGGCCACACAGAAGTGGGGACTTGGGCCTTTCTGCTGGCCAGCCGAGGGGCGGGCCGCTCTAGTCCCCTCTGGCCAGCTGCCATGTCCAAACTCGCCCCCCTCGGCTCCCCTCTGGCTGGTTCCAATTTGCAAGTCTGGGCCACGTCCTCTCGTCCTGTGAAGGCCCAGATGGTATTTCCAGCTTGTGGCCTCATGGCGTGTCACACCCCTTAGCTCGGCAGCCTGTCACACAAAAGGCGCTAGGGTGCACGGAAGCAGTGTGAGGACCTGTGGCCCGCTGGCCCTGCTCTGACCTCCCCCCCCCCACCTCTGCCCCAGGCCAGGCCCCTCATCCCTGTGGCACCTTCTCAGGCCCATCCCCTACCCCCCTTCCTGCCATGCCACAGGGACTTGGCTTTTGGGGGTGCCCTGCCCTGGGGCACACTCAGAGGTACCCCTGTCCCTCGGCCGCAGGGTTGTTGGGGGCTTTGACACACTGACAGCCATGGAGAACGTGGAGAGTGACCCCAAAACCGACCGCCCTAAGGTATGTGCCAAGGGAGAATGGGGGACCGCTGCCCAGGCTGGGCACCGGGCAGGCAGGTTTGGAGGGGCCTGCTCCCTCCTGCCGTCCCTCACTTGCTCCCCTCTGCTGCTAGGAGGAGATCCGCATCGACTCCACCACGGTGTTTGTGGACCCCTACGAGGAGGCCGATGCTCAGGTGAGGGGGCCGTGAGGCGGGCAGCGGCTGCGGGGACCCTGCCCAGCCTGCGGGGCTCCGGGCCAGCTGTCGCCGTGCTCCGTCACAGATTGCTGAGCAGCGCAAGACGACACAGCTCGAGGAGGCAGCCCCAGAAAGCACGGGAAAAACCCACCAGCCCAAGCCGGGGAGCCAGGGCCCCCAGACGTACCGCCAGGGGGTGGGCAAGTACATCAACCCAGCGGCCACGTGAGTGCAGTGAGGGTGCGCGTCCTGTCTGCGTGCTGCTCTCCCAGTGCCCACGGGTCAGATGCCGCCCGTGGCGAGTGAGCACCGGGCATGGGGGGTGAGCAGGTGCCGGGAGGGGGGGGCAGAGACACTGTGCACGAGGACCCCGGGGGTATGTGACTGTGACCTCACACCGAGCAGGTGCTGCGGGAGGGCGTGGGTTCCCAGCGCAGGGGACTGGTCCGCGCCCAGCAGCTAGAGCGAGTCTCTGCTTTCCAGGAAACGGGCAGCAGAGGAAGAGCCTTCCACCAGCACAGCTGTCCCTGTGGCCAAGAAAAAGCCCAGCCGAGGCTTTGGGGACTTCAGCTCATGGTAGCAGCAGGTCTGCCCCTCTGGAGCCCCGGAGGGACTCAGGGCTGGGGGCCTGTGTCCACACCACGGAGTTCTCTGCCCTTCCGACTACAGCTTACTAAAGCTCTTGCTTGTTGCCGGAGTCCCCTTTCCTGGCCCTCGGAGTCCACGGGCCTTCCCAGCCTTCACTCGGTACGGTGGCCCCGGGCCGAGCCCGAGCCCACGTCTCGGACTGCCAGGCATGGGCTGTGGCCCTTAGGCCCGCCTGCAGCGTGGGCTGGGGAGGAAGGCAGAGTCTCCTGCCTCTGGCTCTCCTACCCTCCCGCACCCCATCTGCGTCCCCTCGGGGACTGTTTACTCAGTGGGGCACCTGGGACCTGGTTAGAAACACAGGCTCGCAGAGCCCGGACCTCCTCCTCTGGGGCCGCGGGGTGGGCGCTGCACCTATGTGCTGCCACACGCTGGGGAGCTCCTGCCGCCTGTGGCTTGAGGACCCTGACCAGAGCCGGTCCAGGTGGGGGCTGCGCCCAGGACCCCCTGCCCCTCTGCCTCAGGATGGTAAGCAGAGCGCACGTGGGAGCTGCTGCCCACCCCCCCGCCCCCCGGGGCCTGACTTTGTGCTCAAACACTCGACCCCTCACCCCGGCACTAGGGCTTCCAGACCGGCCTCACCAGCGTTTCCGGACTTAAAGAATCCCTTCCCTTGATTTTATTTTTCTATAAATGTAAAAAAAAAAAAAAAAAAACCTTAACATTTGCAGGCCCGCCCTTTGTTTTCTGTTCATTCTGTAGTCGTGCCAGCGTGGCTTCCCTGCTCCTGACCTTGATGCCACTACCTCGGCTTTCCCAGAGCACCTCTGCAGAAGCGTGGCGACAGCTGCCCACCCCTCACATGCACTCCGAGGCCTGTTGTCCTCGGGTTGGCACGGGCCATGACCCCCCCTCCCCCCAACCAGCTGGTCACACTGCAAACTTCAGGCTTGGTCCTTGGTTCTTCTTTCCTTCACCCAAACCTCAAATCCATCGGCAAGTGTCCACAGCAGCTCCAGAACATACCTGGGCTCCCCCTTTTCCACCTCTGATGCCGAACCCCAGACCCAAGCCTGGTCTCTCGCTGCCTCCGTGCAAGCCCCTTGTGCACGTCCACGCAGGTGCCATCTGGGCCCCCTTCCCAGAGCTCGTCCGCCCGCTGTCCTCTTGCTTCACACCAGTCACGGGCTGTCCTGTGTATGGAGAACAAGGGCTGTGCTCCCCACGCACCCTGTCCCTCCGTAGTCCTCTGCCTGTGGCTGCAGCCAGGGGCCAGGGCTTTAGAGAGCGCCCGCTCACCCCTCTGCCCGGGGCCAGGCCCTCGTCGTCCTCCCTCACGACCTCCTCACCACGACCCCTCCCGGCTACACCGCAACATCAGTTAGCTGCTGAGAGGCTTACACTCCAGTGTTTGTGCCCAGGATGCCTCCAAGAGCCTGTGCACCCAGGAGAGGGCTGCGTGCAGGGACAGCCGTGTAAATGCACAGCTGCCAGTGGCTCAGGGTGCGGGTGGGGGTGGAGGCCCTGGAGAGGGAGGGTCCCAGACGGCTCCCGGACTCCTCAGCCTTTAGGGGCGGGGGGAGCCCAGGTGAGGCTTTCTCGGGCTACGTACACCAGCCCCCCACCCTCCTCCCAGACTTGCCGGGTGGGGAGCCCGGTGGCTCATGTCACCACATGGGACCAGAGTGGACACAGGACGATCTCGGAGACCCCCCAGACCCAGAGCTCCCAGCATCAGAGCAGAGCGCCCGAGACAGGAGATGCTACCGGGAAGGACACCATCTGACAGTGGAAGCTTTATTTTTCAACCTCACAAAGACACAGAGGACAGAGGGCTGGACATGGAGGCTGAAGGAGGCTTGTGCATGTGAGCGTGGCAGTCCTGCTCCAAGGGGCAAACCTTCTGGCTGCTGTCCATCTGTCCGTCCTTCCAGCTGTGCCCAGCGACCACACCAACCTGGCCCAAGGCATGACAGCCAGGCCACCCTGGGCTGCAGGTGCACCCAAGAGCCTTTCACAAAGGAGGGTTTACATTGCTGTAGGTCGTTTTGGAACTTAAATTAGTTTTCTAGATATTAAAACCACTTGGATTTTTTATAAGTACCTGGTGAGGTCCTCAGGTAAATTAAAGGGCTTTTGGAAAAATTCCCATGTCTGATCTTGCCTAATATCTGACAGATGCCATCAAGAATAAGCATTAGGTACAAAAATACTATATATATGTATATATAAAATGGCAACAAAACTAAACCACACTTCTAAAGCAGATGTGCTGTGCCAGAGAACACTACATAGTTTAAGTTAAATGCATTTATGATCCTGGCATCACCTCCCATTCTTTAAGGAAAAAAATATTTTAAATAATTTAAATAGAAGTCACAGGATGATATTTACTGTTTAGGAATTTAAGAGGGTGGAACATTCCAACACTTCACCAGCACATCTGGTTGTGGTCTCGTGAATGTCCTTCCCTGAAGCCAGCTCACAGTCCGTTCATTTGGTTTCGAAAGGAGCTTGGATTTCTCAGAAGACCAACAAAAAAGGTGGTAAGCGTTTTCGTTGGTATCGATTACAAAAAAAAATATACAAAGTAAGGCCTAAGACCACTAGTAAAAATGTTTCAATGCCATCACAAAAGACAATACAAAAACCAAAGTGCTCAAATCGAAGGAGCAGTAAACTTGCCCAGAACATACAAAAGCTTTAAATATAGGTTTAGTATACACAAAACTCGGTCAGAAGAATTCGAGAAGATTCTTCAGTTTAAGTGAAGAGCTTGGGAAGCGCTCGGGAGCCCTGCCCTCGGCGCTCCCGGGACCCCCCGGCCCTCATTCTCTCCGGCCCTCATTCTCTCCGGGCCTCGGGCGCAGCACGGAGGCTCACGGAGGAACCAAGGCGAGAAGAGAAACGTCAGTTTAGGCGATGTTTTCAATGATGAGTACTCACTCCTCAATGAAGGGGCCTTTCTGTCCTTTCAAAGTGGCCGCTAAGGACCGAAGCCGCAGATGTCCACGCTGCACGTGGCCAGCTCGAGGGCGAAGCGTCTTCGGATTTCTGAGCATGGCAGCGAGTGCGCCGCGCGTGTGCGGGCCCGGGCGCCTGAAGGCCGTACAGCTGAACGTGAACTTAGACACAAGGGGACTGTGCTGGGACAACCGAAATCTGCGGGGGACGCCAGCTCGGGGAAGAGCAGCCTGCTGGAGTACCTGCACGCGCAGAGGCTCACACAGCTGTACAAAGATCTGCCCTTGACACTTGGAGACGTGCGTACGCTAACTCAGGCGCCGCATCTCCCCACATCCCAAGGCTTCGCTCTGAGCCAGAAAGAGGGTGCCAAAAGGGAAGCTCTAGGGGAGCAGCTGTGCCAGAACCAGTCAGGGGAGCCCAGTGCCTGCCAGGGCCGTGGGCTCTGGGCTCAGGGGAGGGCTGGTGGGAGGGAAGGGACCTCCCAGGGACCGGAAGCCATTCTCTCGCCCTCCCTGGCCAGCTCACACTCGCCCCTGGGCTGACCTTCTCTGCAGGTGGTTTCAGAGCTGCGGGCCAGGGTGCACTGCCCTTCTCTCTCCCTGCCTCGCTGGGCCCTTTTCCTGCCCCCAGCACCGGGGTCTCAGGAGTTTCATGCCATGCTACACGCAAGGCCCCAACAGACTCCTGGAGCAGCAGGCCGGGCCCAGCAGCCGGAGTCAGGTCAGAATATTGAAAACCAAAACTTACTTGGGAATGATTTTTGGCCTCCATTCTCTGAAAACTGGCCATAACCCTGCCTTGTGCCCTCTCCCTGCAGAGGCACAGGTGGATCGGAACTTAAAATACATTGCAGAGACATGAGGCGTAGAAGCCCGCCCAGGTCCCTTCTGTGTCAGCTCAAGAGACAGAACCAGTGGGGCACGGGAGACCCATATTCATTTACAAAGTTTAAATCTGTTTTGGAACTTGACTTTCCTGAAAAAAATTTTAAAATAATCTCCCAAATTTCAAGTTTGGAAGTTCATCCCGCTAGTTCTGGCCTCTTTCATATGCAAAAGTAATTCTTTTTCTTCAAGTACAACAGAATAAAAAAGGAAATCCGATTTGACTCGGTCCAGTGCGTTAACCTCTAACTGCGTGGACCGCCCCGTCAGCAACTACCACAGAAGCCCCACTTCCAGAGCCCTGCCGAACTGCAGCCCTACGCACATGCGCACCTGCGGCCCTCTGGGACAGTCTTTGCTAACGCTTGCTTTCTAGATAAGAAGGCTGTTGGCTTAAATAAACAAGATGTTCCATTAGACAGATTTCTCTATTTATAGCTTATCTAAAATGTAATCAGTGGTGTCTTCTAGTTCTCAACAAGGCTTTAAAAAAAAAAAAAAGGTCCCTTGGTGTATAGATTTCTTGACTGTTTCTGGAAGATTCCTAAATGAGCACTATGCCTTAACAGCTCATCTGCAAGAGGAATAACCCATCTGTAGTTTCACAAATTAGAAAAAAAGTGGCCTACAGTACCCTCACTCAAAAAAAGAGGGGCGTGAGCTTGCTCCCCGAAAAGCCCCTAACCCTGTGGTCTGCGGAAATTTGGTTTGGTTTTCTATGAAACATGAAGGAGCACAGGCAAACTCTATCTTAAAAGAAGGTATTAACTAGACAGGTAAGTCATCAGTTGGTTAATTCTTTCTCTAGAACTTGAGAAGTTAGCAAAAGGTCATTGAAACATTTCAGAAACAGCCATGTACGTCAACAGGAGAGAGGCTGGAGGGACACCTTACCACCCGAACGGCCGGGAGAGGCCAGCCCGCCGTAACGTTCAAGTTCAAGAAATACTGTCATCCAGGATGCCTCCGTTACACTTACAGTCTCTTTCACAAAATAGCATTCGGAAGAGAACAAAGTTTTCACTTTACTCCCAACCATTGTCTTTGATCATGTGGGCAAGCTCAATAATAAATTTTCCTTCCTTATATTTCTGACTGCTTTCAAAGGCATGTTCCTTGAAAAAGAAAAAAAAGTAGAAAGAAGGTTTCAGGGCAGAATTGATTTCACTTTTCAACTTCATTACACTCTTGGCAAAGAAAATAAGTGTATGAGATCAAGTCTCCCCAGGTGTTCCTTGTTCTGCGGACCAGGGACGGGGGAAGGGTCGGTCTGTCTCGGTGATAAGCCAGGGCGGGCCAGGACAGCCCAGCTCTACTCCTTACCTTACAGATCAACTCACAGGGGAGGGTAATTCACGTTTGTCCCTGAGCATCTACCATGCGCAAGGCAATTTGGGAGGTAGGAAGAGGAGCAAGATACTCCTTGCAGGGACTGCAGGTAAAAGGCAAGTGAAGGCAACTATACCAAGCACCCGGGACTGTTCAAGATGTTGGAGGAAGAGGAGACCCTCAGATGGGCAGTGAGGGTGGAACAGAATAGGGCTCGGCGGTGGAGGCGGGGGGGAGTGCGTGCATGTGCGTGCTTGCGCAGGTCTCACGGAGCCCGTCTCCATGCTGGGGACTGCGTGTCCTCATATGTGATGGGGAATACGGAGAGCAGGAACAATCGGGAATTCTAGGAAGAGGGAGCACAGGTGGCCCTGACCAAGCCGGCCAGAATGGCTGCAGAGGACAACTGAATGAAGGCAGGCACCAGCCACACCCACATGCACCTCTCAGATGCCACTAGGGGTGGTCAGGGGCACTGGGGACAAACTTGGGAGTCAACGGGAGGGGTGGGGGACAATGGGAGCAGGGAGTGTGTGTGTGTGGGGGGGGCGCTGGGCAGAAGCTGCCCATGGGCCAAGCCCCCCGTGGGCCGGCAGCAATTGCGCCGAGCACCGCAGTGGAGTCTGCTGTCACTGCTACCGCAAAGTAACGTCACCAGCCACCTGTGTGGGGGACACTCCCCCCGTTCCAGGGGGCCCTCGGAGGGCACAGGTCTGCAGGGTGGGGCCACATGCTCTCCCAACCAGCGTGGCTGTCACCCCCGCCCTGGGAGTGAGGTGAGCGTGGGGACCTCCCACGTGGGGACCTCCATCTTTAATCAGCTCAAAAGAGATTCTGTTACGAGAACGTGGATTTTCTGACACTTCCAGCGGGAGGTCTTATTCCTTTGCAAATTTTGTTTCTGTAACGTGTGTTTTATTCATCGTGGTAAGTCTGCGCAGTCTCCGCGAGGCCGGTGTGGACGGGTACTCACATATTTCCACCCGAGCGTGGTTTTGCAGTTTTCACAGTAGATGTCTGCGACCGCATGCAGACCAGTGAGAAGGACCCTCTCCTCCGCAGGGCCGCAGCCCACATTCACCCTGCAGGGGAGGAGGCAAGGACAGCGCTCAGGATCCCCCCACAACTCTCCACCGGCCCCCCTCCACCCCGCCATGGATGGTTCTTTCTCCAGCTAACTGGTTACCAGAGGCACCGCCCCCTGCCCACCACCTTTCATGAGAAGGAACAACTTTATTTCCCCAGGAGAATCCCAAGACGGCATTCCCAGTGACCACAGTTCTGTATGGAGCGTGGTTAAAATCAAACCCACCACAAATGGGTCACAGACCACACCGTGTATGGGAGCTCGTTCTCAGATAAGACCACACCCCTCCCCCAAACTCTCACACTAGAGAGAGAAAGAAATTCCTGAAGATTATATCAAAACACTGGGTCATTCTAGGGGCACCTGAGTGGCTCAGTCAGTTAAGCTCCCTGCTCAGCAGGGAGTCTGCTTCTCCCTCTCCGTCTGCCCCTCCCACCGACTCGGGCTCTCTCTCTCTCTCCCCCCCTCTCAAATAAATAAAATCTTAAGGAAAAAAAAAAAACCAAAAACCAAAAACAAAACCACTGGGTCATTCTAGCCCACTGGGGAATTCTATCTACATATTCTGGCTTTTAGTAATTAAAGTGCAGGGATGGACAGAAGCACTAAATGTGATCTGACCATGAACACAGCATGTCCACATGGCCAGTGGCAGTAGTACTCACACAGAATTGAAGAGGTAGGCTCGTCCCTGACTTCCCTGAAAAGACTGCAAAGAAGAAAAGGTTTTAACAGATTTATTGCGGTAAGATGAAGAGTTTGGCATTTTGGGATGAAGGTGGAGAGACTGTTTCAGGTCATGGACCTCAACGTGAGTGGAAGGGCCGCCTCGCGGGGCGTTTCGAGCAGTGCTCAGGAGGAGCAGTGACCATAGGCCCCCAGGGCCCCGGACCCCACACAGGACCCAGAAGTCACAGTGCTCCTAGAGCCCCGGAGGGCTGCTCAGCGTCCCGATTCCCCTGGCCAGGACAAGCAGCACCACCGTGGTCAGATAGTACGGGTGAGGGGATGTTCCCATGCTTTTCCACTGAAATTTAAAGCAAAATCACATCCCAAGATGACCCCTTACTGGGAGGAAGGGACCTTCCAGTGACATCTCCCCCAGGAAAGTGCTATAAGCCAAGGAACAGCTGGTAGCATACTCATGTAGTCTGGGATGATAAAGGAGGGAGGACAGGGTACGGTTGGGTCAGTTCCAGACTTAGCGCCCGCACCCTTCACTCTCTGAGTTCCCTCTTAGGCAGATGGGGGGGCTCGTCCGCTTTGGTGCCAGGCTCAAGTGACCGAAGGGAACACAGGGACCTCAAAAATAACCAAATCAAGAGAACTTTTTTGGTTTTTTTTGCCTATCACAGCACAAATTCAAAAGACAGTGAGGAATGTAGACTGGAGCAGAGGGTGACAATATCTAAATGTAAGAGGCACACGCTGTGTGACCAGCTGCCCCACTCCCAAGAATCCACTATCAAGACAACCAGAGCACACAGGGAAATGTGTGACAAGAATGGTGACCAGTAAGTTTGCAATTGCAAAAAGGTGGGACAGCGATACCCACCGACAAGTGAGCAAACAAGGGCACTCACATCCAGGACTCACGCAGACATTAAGAGGGGGACGGAAGCAGCTGAGCACGAGAGGGTATGAGAAGAGAGAGACCCTGGGAGGTGAAGGAGAGCTATCCATAAAATGCCATGTCGTGGGGGCCCTTCAGTTAAAGGGAAAACCATAGGGCACCTGAGTGGCTCAGTCGTTGAGCATCCGCCATCAGCTCGGGTCATGATCTCAGGGTCCTGGGATGGAGCCCTGCAGCGGGCTCCACACTCAGTGGGGAGTCTCCTTCTCCCTCTCCCTCTGCCCCCTCCCCTGCTTATGCGCCCTCTCTCTCAAATAAATAAAATCTTAACAAAAGGGAAAAGGGAAAACCGTGTTCTTACAGAGGAGAGAGAGACCATGTATGCCACATGACTAACAGAGACAAGCAGAAGGAATGGAGTCAGGGGTAAGGAGGGGAAAGCAGATCCGTCCCTGCCTCACATGCACGTGACACTGAGCTGTGCCAGGACTCGCAGTCCCTTCCATGAGTAGAGAGCAGTGTCCCCCCCCCCCCCCCCCGCTGACCCCAGACACACGTTCGCTGGAGCAACACAGAGACCCCCCCTGCTAAGCCACTAAGCCACTGCAGTTTGGGGGCTCTTTGTTATGCGGCATAACCTAGCCTGAGGCAAGCAGTGTTCTGATTGAAATATACAGCTTTCAGAGGAAAAAAAGGGGAAAGAAAAAGGAAAAAAAAAAAAAAAAAGAGGGGCACCTGGGTGGCTCAGTTGGTTAAGCATCTGGCTTTGGCTCAGGTCATGATCTCAGGGTCCCACGTCGGGCTCCCTGCTCAGTGGGGAGTCTGCTGCTCCCTCTGCCCCCTCCCCCCCTTCTCTCTCTCTCACTCTCTCTCGTTCTCTCTCAAATAAATAAAATCTTTAAAAAAGAAAAAAAGAAAAACCCTTTATAAGAGTTTCCCTTTCAACTGGCTTTCTAGAATTAGGAATATTACTTTGTGTCCAATTTAGCAAATAATCCACTTATGGGCTTCCCTCCACATCCTTATCAGCCCTTAGTTCTGTAGACCAATTTTCCTAATTCTCTTGCCTACTCTGCAAATTCTCCCGCCTCCCCCACAAATCCTTATTTTTTTTTTAAACAGGGCTGGGATCAGTGATGTGGCCAGATCTGTGGCTCGGCTTTAGACAGAATTCAGACTAGAGCGGGGCCCGCAAACCTCCGTAAACGAGGGCCCGCTGAGAAGCGTTTTAGGCTCTGGGGGCCGCTCAGCCTCTGCGCTCAGGACTCTGGTGCCCTGGCGGGCACGACGGCAGCCCTCCGCGCTGTGGAGACACATGGACGTGGCGGTGGCCCAATAAAACGTCACGGAAACAGGTGGTGCGCTGGCCGTGGCCCACAGATAAAAACCAGAGCCTTCCAACAACGAGACCCGCCTGCCCCGGGAACAACTCCCTTGGGCCAGGGCATCACTGACTGACAAAGACGGCCCGGGAGGCGGGTGAACCCCGGTCAGGACCCCTGCCCTCAGGCGAACCGGCTTCTGCTCTACGTGGGAAGCGCTACGGACAAACAATGTAGGGAAGGAAAAGTGGCCGCTGCCTGGACCACCCGCTGAAGCGCGAGGTCCGACGCCCCTCGGCAGCCCGTGTGCTGGGGGCGCCCGGGTTCCCGGCAGGACTCCGCTCGGGTGAGGTCACGGCTATTGGCACCTAGCGGGCCTCGACTCTTCGGGTAATCAGAAAACAGCGTAGGGACGCCTGGGTGGCTCAGTCGGTTAAGCGGCTGCCTTCGGCTCGGGTCATGATCCCGGGGTCCTGGGATCGAGCCCCATGTCTGGCTCCCTGCTCGGCAGAGAGCCTGCTTCTCCCTCTCCCTCTGCCTGCCACTCTGCCTACTTGTGCTCTCTATCTCTCTGTCAAATAAATAAATAAAATCTTT